TTTCTCTGAAGGTTATGTCTGTTGGCTTGTTTGGGAGGATGAAGTTACAGAACTTTTGATGTTCAGACACTCCGAGCTTCCGTAATAATAATCTCAGTTTTGAACCTTCGTCCCACTCTTTACAATCATTAATAAGTAAATCCTCATGGCGTTTAAATCATGCCTCAAAAGTAATCCCACATTCTGGATCAAATCTAAATTCATCTATTGAGTTCGCGACAGAGTCCGGAGTCATAGTGAAATTAGATACATTAGTTCTTGAGGATATTAGCATATTTTTCACCAATAATTCGATAAGAGAATTTCGCTGTTGCAATAAAGTTATTAGATCATCCATTTTATTGTTATAAAATCCACATTAACTGAATATATAGGCGTAGATCCGTTTTATTCACCGTCAGCATTGTTATAACTTGTGGTTTGTACCTTTGATTCTTTGTTTTTCACCCCGTCGCCAATTGTTATAACGCTCGGTTTCTACTTTGGCTAATGTTATAACGGTCAATATACACAAAGGGAAAAGCAGGATTCTCCGATACAACACAGAATGCACCAATCCAATCACAATTGACGGAGAAGATTTGGAAGATGTAAAAACCTTTACGTATTTGGGCAGCATCATTGATGAACAGGGTGGATCTGATGCAGATGTGAAGGCGCGGATCGGCAAAACAAGAGCAGCATATTTACAACTGAAGAACATTTGGAGCTCAAAGCAACTGTCAACCAACACCAAGGTCAGGATTTTCAATACAAATGTCAAGACAGTTCTACTGTATGGGGCAGAAACCTGGAGAACTACAAAAGCCATCATCCAGAAAATACAGGTGTTTATCAACAATTGTCTACGCAAAATACTTCAGATCCGTTGGCCGGACACTATTAGCAACAACGTACTGTGGGAGAGAACAAACCAGATCCCAGCGGAGGAAGGAATCAGGAAGAAGCGCTGGAAGTGGATAGGACACACATTGAGGAAAGCACCCAACTGCGTCACAAGACAAGCCCTCACTTGGAATCCTGAAGGTCAAAGGAAAAGAGGAAGACCAAAGAACACATTACGCCGGGAAATGGAGATAGACATGAGAAAAATGAACAAGAATTGGATGGAATTAGAAAAGAAGGCCCAGGACAGAGTGGGTTGGAGAATGCTGGTCAGCGGCCTATGCTCCATTGGAAGTAACAGGCGTAAGTAAGTAAGTAAGTAATGTTATAACGGTTGGGTTTCGACGTTACAGTAAGTGATATCCACACTGAGGTAGTTTGTCATGATATCCAGCTCTTAGTGAAACTATCTCAGATAGAGATAGGCGCTATTATTCACTCTCGATCCAGGAGAATGGACCTATATGCAGAACACTCCAGAGAACAGTTCGACTGACCTTTAGCTACACCTCAGTTACCCATCATATTCAAGCATCCTGAATGAAAATTGATGTAAGTTGAAAAGGCTATAGGCAATCTCAAGCAAGAGAGAGATGAAGGCCTGATGAACTAACCACTGGGATTTTAATGATGATGGTCCAGTTTGGGGAATTAGGTTAACTGAAGTCTTAGCTAGAATGTGGGAACTGGACGTAATGACATCTGACTGGTTACAATTGCTGATCGTTCCAATCTATAAGAAAGGACAAAAATCGTCTTGTGACAATCACAGAGGAATGAATTTAACCGATATATTGTCTAAAATGTTAGCCTCAATCCTGCCATAAATAATGCTAGAACAAAATAACACATTTCTTTATATCGTTTGTGAAGTTCTCACTACATCAAACACAGTAATTTTCTAGTTTACTACTCTGTACATTTCACGATTTTGATTCAATATTGTGTTATATAAATGAAATTCCATCCAAACCATTATCCAAAGTACTAACAGATGGAGTCGTGATTGCACACTACTGAGTCTCACACTAGAACACAAAAAACTGAACAATACTTCTTGGTATTCAATGTTTATTTGATTGACGTCGATTTGTGACGTAGGCCATAAAACTGAACTATTCCCATAATCTCATGTTCTTCATATTTATACAAGCTGTTTAATTTATGGAAAAACATAATAAAAATAAAATTTATTCCTGTTTTCAAAAATAATACTCCGCGCCTTTATAAATGGAATCTATGAATAAATTTCAGGACTCCAAGTAGTGAGTCTTGCTGAACAACTCAGTAGGCCGGAAAAAAAGCGAATAAAATTGTTTCATTTCACAGTTAACTTAATGTTGTGACCTTAAGTCCGGCTAATTATCACGTGACTTATTCGCCAATCGGGATACGACTTATACAACTTTAGCACTGTTTCAAACCAATGACGTCTGATCGGTATGAACAGCTCAGCGTAGTTACTGGTCCCTTTTCCTCCCAGCCTTGCCAGTTGAGTGCAGAACACCGATAACAGCTTCCACTATGCGAATCATTCATTTCAAACATACTTGGTTTATATACAAGCCAAACAGACCTCATCACACCCCGAAATAGGAAATAACATTGATGCAAGATCTGGTCAAAAAGTGGCTGTGATTGTGAGAGACGGTAATTAATAAACTGAACATAATTTTAAGAACGGTAAATCGTATAATGATAGTCTATAAGTCAAAATGAGGCTTATAATAAAAGGAATATAGATATACACAATCTAGTTACTGAATAGTTATGCAATAAGAATATATATACAATATTAGTTCATTAATAGTTCTCAGAAGATACTCGTAATTTAATCTTCACTTGGATATAACAATTATGTATTTTTTCATGTCATATTTTATGTAAACAGCTTGGAAAAGTTTTTATTTTCTCTGTGTAGAAGACGATAACTGTTCAGTTTGTGCTAGTATACCGTGCTTTGACATTGTCATGTATCAACAAATTAGGTCCCTATAAAGAGCGAGCTACACCAGGTAGCTTGAATTTTTAAAGAAATCGACCCATTACAATAATACCTCGAATATCGAACAAACGTATCTTGTATGTTTTTTAATGTCTGTTGACTTTGGAAGTATTCATTGTGACTACTGAATAAATAAAAGTAAGCATACGTTTTCTATAAAATATTTCGAACTCTCGATCGAAAGCTTCAAGTGCATGATAATTTGGAATGGATTCCTCTTCCTTTAAATGAGAGTTTCACTCAAGATTGACATGTATCAGCGTCTAAATTAATTATAAGGCATGAAGTGGGAGATATTGCTGACTACTTAGCTCATATTGGAAGTCTTCAACTAGATGTTTAGTTTCAATATTATATGATAGGTTTTCTTTTACGAATTCATTTTGCCTTTCAAAACTAAATTCCCTATATCTAGTCTTTTTTAAACTCCGCCTGGAGTCCCTCCTGAGGCTACTGCCGGTCCCAAGCCCGGATAAAGGAGGAGGGTTAGGCATGGGGTTAGCGACCTCATCCCGTAGAAAACTAACTCACTAAAAAAACGCTAACCAGAAAAAAAAGTAAGTATGTTTTTAAGTCATTACTGTCATTATTGTTCTGGTTAATTTTATCTAGTTGTGATATCATTAGGCAACTTCGATAGATGCTTATTTTGTTCAAGTCTTCGTTGATCATTACCGGACTCGTTACCAGTGTATAAGCAAGACTCTAAACACAACTGAGCTTGGTACCTTCTAGTTACGTATCGAGGATGTCAAACTAAACGTAATTTTAGCTTAGACCCTATTAGTTAATTCAAAAACAATAAATTTGTACATTTCCATCTATTGATTAACAATTAATCAAATTAGAGTATACTATGCTGCTGTATAACTGATTATAACAAAGAAAATCAATACAGATTAGTATATCAGACTGTGAGCCACGTATGCCTTTTGTAAACAGTAATGATATTCTCTAGTAGTCCAAATCTCAACAAGTATTTTATTGTTATAAACAATAAACCCAATAGTTTGAAATCTGTTGCCTAATAAATTTGGTTATTAGTGATTTTTAGTATAATGGTGTTACAAACTATTGAAAAAGTTTGATATATCTCAACATCTTTGAAAAGTATATATATGTATATAACGTTGTATGCTTAACTACGCCTTTGTAAAACATATTCAATTGGACAATTAGGACATGACTAATCAGATAGTTAACATACATGTGAGTAGTCAATCATGCGCTTATAGTGAGCAAGTACACTCTGTGATAATTTATGCGTAAAATTGAACAAGAATCAGATAATCAATTAATAGTTAATTTGTTCAACCCAAATGTTATGGTGAAAGTTGGTGAATATAGTCATTAAAATGATGATATATTCACAAAGTCAATTTGAACTCGTTGATCTACAATTACTTAAGCGAAATGGATGTCATTTAAGGTGATTCTACACAGACTTCAGATAATCAAACTCCCGAACCTGAACTCACATAGAATAGAACAGAAAACTAAAAGACACCGGATAAGTGTTCGTCCTAGTCTAAGACTATCAGTTATGTTCACCAGCAGTCCTATATAAGACTGAATTAGGTATCTTTCTGTCATATGATAAATAAGACACTGTTGAGTTATTAAATTAAAATTCAATAGTTTGTAACTTCAACTTCAAGCTATTTGTAAATAGTCGCATTTTTATTCGTTTTTGTTGCTCAAGTTTAATGACAGATATATTGTTACTCTTTACTTATCCATGATTGACTGATCTCTTCCCTACCATAAATTAAACGGCTTTCAAATCCAAATAATATCTTCAAGTAGTGATGATAACATGTGTTTCTATCGAACAACCTACGTGTGCCTAAAATTTAAAATAAATAAACTGGTCCCATAAACAGCTTAACAAACGAAACAATGATCATAGATAAATTCACTTGATGTTGTTATACTAGTATCTTCCCATTGTTATTTAGGACTGCTGACGAGTCCCAAATGGGACGAAACGCGCGTTTTGGATTCCACTGCTAGCCACTATCCATCTTCGCTTAATGAGAATAGATGTTGTATAAAATTGGTTAGCATGTCAACAACCACTTATTTGACTTCATAAAATAGAAAAGATGTTGCCAAAATACATTATAGATTACTTGATATTCGATGTTAACAATACTTTCAATCAAGTAACCGAATTATTTATTCTATAATACTACTACTGTTTAGTAATTTGGAAGAAGAAGTTACTATTTTACAATGATGAAAAAAATTAATCATCATCCGATACAAACGAAATAAATTAACAGAACTTTTCACTTAGTTAACGGTGATAATTCCAACTTGATAAGTTTTCATTCATAAAATCACCAAATCATCAGAGAAAAACTAGATACCACAGAACAGCTGTGAACCATATAAGTACTATAACGATGCTCTTAAATAAATTGTGAAAGAAAATTCAAGTGACTCTTGATGTGAACAAAAAACAGAGAAGACATGGCAAACGACAGTAGCTATTTTGTGGGATGTTATTTCACTCAGTTCAAAATTTTAAAATACGAACAATCATTTTTGTCAGAAATCTATTCTATAAACCATAAGCTTTCGTTTAATGGATGACTCACTGCCATACCGTTTTCTGTTCCAAACTATTGTAATTTAAACGTAACCTTTTGTACTCTATTTTTCTACCGTAATCCCCAGCTTGGACACAATTGTATTTTTCTAGTTGTTTGTGCGTTGTGATCATGTAAGTCATCTATTTATTCGTGTGTCTTTTACACTAATCCAAATCAGAAATACACCGAGTAGTGCTTTATTTGACTTGTCTTCACTCTCGCTTGTCAACCAATCAGGTAGTTTTCGTCACTGTAAAAGGCCATTTGAGTTCCATTTGGACGCACACATTCCTAGCCCCAAGGTTGAATCAGTTAGCCTATAGTGTGAAAGCCTTATATAAGATCGAAGCAAGTTCTCTCTAGAGTATTATTGAGTAACCAGATCAAGGACTCGAGAAGAAAAGCTCACTTAAAATTCAAGCGAAAAATACTTTCAAGACTTAATTAAAATGTCTTCAAATCAATTTCAGTTGAACAAATCGACAAAAAAAATAATCATACATAAAAACAATAAACGCCAACAACAACTACTAACATCTAAAAATTGATGAAATGAAATTCAATTAATTGTATCCGTACAAATTGTGCAAGGAACTCCAGGAGCTAACGACAAAAATTAAGGTAATTACGATCGGCTAAAGAATAGCAATAGCAATCAGTAGCAGCAGTGTTTGCTACTCTGGTAGCGTTTATTTTTGTTTACTTAGTACTTGTTTAAAAAAACGGTTGTTTTAAAAAATAACATTTTTTGCTTATTTCGTAAAGGAAATGGAAGACGATTTAGAAAGTAACAACAGGAAAACAAGTATAAGTAATTTAGGAATTAAAAAAATCAAAGTTTTATGCTCAAGCATCTGATCATAGTGACAGCTAACACAGGAAATAGTGAAATAGTCATTAATGAATCAAAAAGTTAAATAGAAAAGCAGTCAAACTTAAAATTACAGATTTAAAAATAGTATATAGTGTATACAGATTAGAGAATATGATAATATTATAACGAGACTATTTGTGATGTTGATACTGATTCCTGTTGCACAGGCAAAAGATAATGTATCACTTAATACGATAATTGATATGCATATGCTTCGAACTGTCATTATTACAAGTTATATATGGTTGTATTAACTTACAAGAATCACAACAACTTTCTTGTACAATATTACAAACTGATACAACAAACTAGTAAACCTGAATACCAAATAATATACTTGGAATGTATTAGGCCACTGAAGAAAATTAATAATTTTCATACTTTGTTTTTCTAAGTATACAAAAATAAGCAAGTTGGTTTGTGAAGGAAGTTGAAATCTTTGGTGCAGTGTGTACATGCACACACACATATACAACAAACAATATTGAAAACAATTTGTTTTTCATTGTTCACTTACGCCGTTGCAACATTAGAGTTGAATATAAAGCTAAATATAGATGAAGTTGGCAAATGGATACATATGTATGAATAATCATGCATGTTTATTGTTTACAACATTGTAATAAATAGGAATATTATAGTTTCTTTCGACAAACAAAACAAAACACATGAATGATTTGTATCAGGAAATTCATGATAGAGAATTTGTTTTTAAACGAAAGTTACTAATATCAAATGATAGAAGAGGAGAAATGAACATGAATTACATATTTTATTCATAAATAAACTACTGTTACTACTTACATATGACAAAAGTAGTAGTAGTAGTAGTTAGAAGTATTATAAACATAATCAATTACAAGGGATTTTCATAAATTTGGCAGTTTCTAATTGTTTAAAAAAAACCTCGAGAAAAGCGGGAGGATATGGATAATAATTTCTGTTGAGTAGAAAAAAACAAGCACACTTGGAGTTGACCACAAATCGATTATTCTACATAACAGTTACATTATCAGTATCTAATTCTAATGTAGAATTATTCGACTTCGAATTAGCATCAGGTGGTGGGGGTCGTTTAGGTGGTAGATCTTTATTCAGTTTCGGTTCATGAATAGTTGGTGGTGTGATCATTTGTGATGGTAATGACAATTTTTGACTATGATTAATGGTTGTTAATTCTGTGCAGTTTGTGGTTGAGCTACTTATAATTTGTGGAAGACTTTCATGATGAGAATGATGAATTATTACTTCTGAATGACTACTGCAACAAATGTTGTTACTATCACCATTATTTTTGTTTTCTATGTCAGTGCCAGAGGGATTTTCTGATTTTTCAGGATCATTATTATTCACATGAGTTATTGAATAATTCGTTGGATTTAAAAGAACTGGTGGTTTTGGAGCAGCATTTTTCTTTCGTTGAAGTATAGGAGTAGTACTTAAATTTGACATCCTTGTAAGACACATAAACCAAATCAAACAACAACGAAAAAGGTAATCTAATGCTGCGAAAAAAAATGACACGAATAGGAAAAAAACTAAATATACTCACTCAAATACTATATACATATGCCAGAGAAACTTTTGAGCTGATTACCAGGTTCTTAGTTTTTCGAGACAGTGTTTTTGAAGAGATACCTGGTAGATCTTTCATTAATAACGATAGTCCTGGCATAAAAAATCTACGGACTTTACGGAAGCGCACCATATATTATGTCAAATATATATAATACTCAATGTTTTTCGGCGGGAACGATTACTGTGTTTAACTAATAACTTACTCATAGAATATTTCTTCTGAAACATTTCAACTTTGTTTTATGTATACGTAAAACGCTGAACGGCAAATGTAAAACTACTATAATAGATAAATTTGTATAGATTCCACTGTTACTTAAATGATATTCCCGAAGAGTCTAACATTTGTCAACTATTTACAAAACAACCTTGCTCACAAAAAAGAAAAGTAGACCAGACAGTTCAAATCAAGAGGAATGCTGTTAACGTACAATAACACGAAATTTGTGAAATCAACGCACAGGATAATGAAAATGTACAAGCTCAATTGTAAATGTCCGATTTTGGGTTGTGCGCCCAATCTATTTTCAAAAAGCGACAACTTGCTAAATGCTAGTTTGCATGAACTAAGAGAGAAATGTCTAGGAAAGTCGTGTTACACACCAGTCCCGAATTACTAGATGTAAAAAGCTGTATCAGTTCAGATGCATGTCAGTTGCTGAAAATTGAAATGCGTACAGAAGTTTGTCAAACGACCAGGTTATCAGAAAATACCCTTACAGTTATAGATAACACGGGGAGGTATACTGTAGATACGGATGTTATGGGATACAACTGCTCTTCTAGATGTAAAATGACGTTATTAAGTCGACATATTATCAACTAAGCTCTTCAGTTCAACGAACTGATCAGCCAAACTAGTTCTTGTAGAAAACGATGGGTTTAGTTCAGCGAGTATTTTAACCCTAATGAATTACAACAACGAATACCAGACACGGTAGTCCAACGGCAGCCAACTAAAAATGATAAAATAAAACATATCAGTCAAATATTAATAAATTATCAAGAATTTTGGCTGCTAGTCAACTACATGTTACATAACTTATCTAGTTCAGTCGCTGCACCCGTTGATCCAAGTTCAATTCTTGATTTTATTCACAATTTCTATTTGGTACAATTGACCATTTGTGTAACAAGACTAGCGAAACATTATCCATTTACGTAGACAAAAAAATGGAAGAAATCAACATTAAAAATGATGGTTTCGAAATGTAGATCTGTATTTTCCTATATCCAGTAATAGCAATGCAGACAAAGGTGAAGCGAACGTGTATATGTGAGTGAACTATGAAATCCCTACACCTAGTGGAGAATTTAACGATGACAATGTTGATATTTGTGGCAAATGTTGTTTGCTCCGACCGCCAAGAGTCGAAAGCTGTGCTGGTAAACGGGTCAGATGTTCAAGATGAAGCATATTCAGTCATCTAGTCTGTTCTGCAAGGACCGCTGGAGGTGGCCTCCTGTGTGGAGAATTCTACGGTTATGATAAATAGTTATGGGTTCTGTACGTGGATACCACACTTAACGATACATCTCATTGCAGATATCAACAAGCGTTCAGTAAGAACGCAAAATGACCCTTTCTAGGCTCTCCCCAACAAACTGATTTAATACTCCAGCCTTTTTTTCATTCAATGTATTAACAATAGTCCGGTCAATAAATAGAAATAGCTATGTAAAAGCTGTTTACTAAGTGCGTACCACATATAGTATAGAAAATATCAAGTATAACTGGCTAATAATAAGTGTGAATTTCTGCATTAATGACCTTTACATAATTTGTTTTAATTGTGATCAGTATGTTTCCTAGACAGATAAAACTATTTTTAATGTTAAGCAGTTGACCTTTATCAGACAGTAAATATAAGCTATTCTACGTCTGATACAACTGCAGTTGTATTAATTCTCTGTTTGACATGATTTTTATATTTTTGTTTATACGTTACTGACACCTCATTTCACCACTGAATTCAAACTAGTGACGTTAACGAAATATGTGCGTACAATCTGAAAGACATGTTACAGTAAATGATTCATTCAGGGTTGTAACGAAATGAGAGTTGTAAATTAAATTTGTGATGAAATTAATAACAACTTACAACTGAGTATTATATTATACTTTACACAACACAAGGTAAAATTTTGTATAATTACGGTTGTGCAGTTTAAGAAAATGTCAGTGTCCGAAACAACATTTTCTTCACTGGACACACCAACATTTTTCGAATTATTTCATTGAATTCATGAAGCAATCAACGTTAGACCGCCATTGAAAACCTGGAAGGATAGTCCGAACGTATCGTCCTGGAATAGGACTTTTCAGTAGTATTCATCCACAATCACATACGTGAGACTCGAACCCAGGACTTTCGGTCTCGCGTGAATCATTTAATTGTTCCTAGCTTGAATGTTGTAGATAAAGGATATGTCTATTATAATTAGCTTTAAAAAGTGGTTATCTTCAATTTTAGCTGATTAGGTTAATTTATATTCGGGCAAACTAGTAAATATGATCACGATAAACTTGCGCTTAGTAAGAGTGAACTTTCTAATCCCATTCAATTACTTTGTATGTACAGTGTCAGCCAGCTACAACGTAGGACCAGGCACATATGTGCATCGGTCCAGGTTGCCATACCGCATCAGCACAACAAGATGAACACCGGATTCATAGCATGTAAGAGAAAGATTGTATATAGAGATATAGTACAAGAAGAAAGAATTGGTTCGTAGAAAGAAAGATATGAAGTGATTTTAATCTCTTAGTTTAAGGGAAGACAGGGAGTGTATACACCGACGCCATTGTGATCGATTCTGAGCCATGTCACCAAGAGTCTCCAACCATTGTGTATTACCAAAGAGATTTTATACATCTTGACATTATACATATTTCATCTATGCAACAGTTGACAAATGAACAGTCTCAAATGCTTTTTATTTTTTATATCATTTATACGTCTAGTGACTCAGTTGGCATTTATCTCATATACGAATTTAATCATAGTGGGATAATCTAAAAATAACTATACATAACGGAAAAACCTTAATCTCGTGTCTACACAATAGATGATAATGAAAATGACTATTGTTTTAATTTCAGTATCATTTCTTGTAATCGTCTAGTAATGATGATCAGTATTTGAAATAATCACTTGTTCAAACACGTTCAAATGTTGCTTTTAAGTAGAGTAAGACTATGAAACGTGGTGGATCAAGTGAACTCTTTGGACAGGTGGTAAACAATATACATAAATCCAATTCATTTTAAGTGACATTACAACACACTATCCTACTACTTACTGTCGCTGAATTGGTTCACATGATTAATCTCTTCATATGAAGCTGATGACTATGTCATGATCCAATTTATTCGCTACACACATACACATTTTAAATTTTGTTGGCATACCACATCAAATGACTTGAATTGTCACTATACATATAACTAATTGTTAAACATGTTTGGACAAGAGTTCAGCATTAACTTGTGTTAAGCCATGTATATCGTCGACAATTATCATTTTCATTATTGAACAGTTAGCCCACTAACAAAAGTTAAACACCATTACTTGTCTTATTCACTACTAATTAAAGTTTGTTACTCGGAGAATACATTTTTCGAAATAAATGAACCAACTGAGACAGCGACTTATAAACCTACCATTAAAACCAACCAATGAAAATGAGGCATTATCGACAGAACCCACCCAAACAAATTGCAATAAAATAGTGAGTATTAGTGAAACAGTGATTACATAATTTGTATGAATCATATAGTAAGGTTAGATTGGACCAATCACGTGAGTGATTTATTAAAAAACAGAAAAAGAGAAATAATTGAATTCGTTGAGCATCACATTCTTACACTTCAACAGCACGCAGTCTACGAATTACTGGATATTCTTTAAACTAGGATACGTATCTATCCTAAAAGATACGAGAAATAAAGTGCGTATTATTGAAGACCACTATTAAAAAGAGCAACCATCGGTAAGTTAACCGTTGAAAGAGGGAATAACATTTTAAGGTTATGAAATCTGTCAGATTCGTCCTCTGTCCCTTCGCCTATACAATCAATCAAAAACGTAGTTTTCTAGACGTCTAATGAAGAGTCAACTTTTAAAAAAATACTGTAATTATTCGAATATGGTAACAATTTGTTATTGTTGTTACTCTGGTCATTTTATTTCGTATGTCTATTTTGAACACCTATGGGATAATCACTTTAGAGAAATGTTTGGAGAGTGCTTGAGACGTGTTTGGTGAATTTCACGTCCAATGAGTTTTAAATGCCTTAAATTTAAAATTAAAAAGGTCATAAACGATATTCATCATTATATGTATTCCCCAAAACATTTTGTGCGCTCTTACAAAACTAAATGAACTATTCTGCAGCTTATTAATCTCTGTAATAATTAGAATCAAATGAGCAGGTTTTATTGAATAATGATTAGATGGGCATATAGAACCTATTTGGTAAATCTGATGCAATTATTATTAACATTAACATATGATTATTAGGGAATATTTTTCCAGTTAAAATAATACTCAGATTTACAGTTGACAAGCAAAAATGTTTAAACTAGTTAGCTTTTACTAAAAATCCAACTACACTACAATATCTTATAGATAAGTTCGCTGCAGAGGCATAAGCACTTCGTTTAGAAACTGAAATACGAATTCACAAGTCGTGGAAATAACATTATCGAAAATAAAGTTCCCTGTCTCTAAATCATCAATAATAATTATTTTCAGGATTTCATTCTGCCATAAATTGAACAGTATAAGGGAATATTTTAAAGCAGTCGTCTCACGGGAACTTTTTAAGTTCTTTATGTATTTGAATGTACATTGAAATTATTCTAACAACTTGAAGCTAATCTTCTTGAATATCTCGAAATGTTCCTACCATCTAAGTATTTCAACAAGTTATGTCTTTGTTTTAATATATAATTATGTCTATTAATCGCACAAACTATTCAGGTGCATCTACGTAAAGTTTACGACCTTTCGCTGTACAAGTTTAAAAGAAAGTACAATCTGAGACATCGTGGTGGCAGACAATTCACACTGTAAAGAAAGAACATTATTCAGACATCAATTCCTGAATTGCTAACATCTAACTGGAGATTACTCAATTTTTATCGTTAATATCGATCAAGAAATAAGAAACGGAAACTCGCTGAAATACTTTGTGCTGAAAATTCGATATTGTACCAAAAATATAATAATAAAACTTGCCTATTTATATTTTAAGACAAGTCACTTCTCTCTTAAAAACCGATCTATCAATTTTACATTTACGAGTGAAACGCTATATCCCACAATTATAATTATCGATTACTTACAACACTACAATTATTAGGACTAAACTGCTGTACAGTTTTAACTAAATAACTTTGATTTTGAGACTAGTAAATCTTTTCACATTTCATCCATTAAGACAAGAACTTTCATTGTTTGAAATGTCATGGTACTCTAGATTTTCAAAGTGAGTACATAACTAGTCGATGAGGACAGTGATCGAACAATTCCAGCTTTTCAGATGTAGGAAAATATTAGAATTCTTTTTCATGTAGCCCACTGTCATGAAGCAAGAATTTTCCTACACTCACACTTGTACTCAGAGGATAAATTTAGTACATTCATTGTCTAACGCTGTCCCTGTTAGAAGTGGTGTAATACAAGGTAGTGTCTTAGGTCCTTTGCTCTTTTTAGTGTTTATCAATGATATTTGTGAAAGTTTTTGTGTCGGTAAGCCCCTTCTATACGCAGATGATCTTAAAGTAGTGTATTCGTTTTCTCCACATGAGCTGAAAAATATGCAAAATTGCATATAAACTATCGTTTACATTCAATCACGCGATTCAATATGCAGAAACTTCTCATTATGACATCAGTAATTCCTTGGCACTAGTGAAACAAACTCATTCTAAATCATCTCTTTATATGAATTACTTCACCTGTAAAATTTCTAGACTCTGGAATAACCTACGACAATCTATCCGCACGATAAAATCACTTCAATTATTTGTTCGCTGCATCGATGCATACTGCTCCTCTGAAAATGCATTGAATGGTCTAGCACCTGCAAGTGTATCTCATTCAACAAGTGATATTTTAGGAACTTTAAATGTCTAGCCATCTTTATTAGTGAATCCCCTAAGTAAAACCACCCACTTGCTGTCAATATGTTAACACCGTCCCTAGCAAGTTTAACTAATTTGAATAACATAAACAGTATATCACTGTGTCACATGACATACGCATTTAGGTAGACCTGACTCATATATTTTGGTAATTACTGCTTTGTTTTTCCGTGCTCTGTGTTTTCGTTTTAAATTCTCTAGTTGTAGATAATTATCATTAATTCGATCTGGCACACGAATTGACCTTAATTACTCCGTTAATAAATCAACAGGCTGTCCATTTAGGAAATATTAAAAATTCCCGGCTGATGCATTGGATCACTGTAATACATGTACTACATAAACAATTACTGAACTTGTATACTTAAAACATTCTTCTATCACATGTTTGTTCTGTACATCTAATATTCCTCTTTATATCAAATTGCCTGTAAACTGGCGTGAATTCTGTAATTATTATTTTCAGAATATAAATTATTATTATTATTATTATTATTATTATTATTATTATTATTATTATTATTATTATTATTATTATTATGTGTATTGAGGACATTGTTATTTGGTTAATTTGTGGTGTATGCTACTTATATTGACATAGGTAGTATGTGATTTCAGTCGTGAACAGAAGGTTTGGCAGAAGAGAGATAAGAGGATCGAACAGTAAAGGATGGGAACAGGATGAAATTTGTATGGAAATGCAAGAACAATAAAGTCTGAGTCATTTTGAGACAACTGGTAGAGATTTTGCAAATTAAGCATTTATTTTATGATTGTTAGATTTTATTAACAAGTCCTGTAATTTTGTGTTAAATACATTCGATTGTCTTCACTGGTGTTCTTGTTCACTACAAATCTAACAAGTGATACATGTAACAAATGTCACACAAAGTAACATTTAGAAGCTACACATTAATCATCTGATTTTCAACTGTTAGCTTACGGAGATAAAATAGCTTTATTTAAGTTGACTACATAATAGCAAATACGATTGTAATTTAGCTCATAAATATTGTTAATCAATGTAGAATGCATGAAAGAGCACATATAAGTAAAAATTAAATACCTGACAATGAGTGAATCGTATAAAGCTAATCATCAGTAATAGATGCAGATATAATAATAGTTTAACGTTAGATAACAACATTTTAGATCATAGATTAATAAGGTGTAGAAGTTTGCTCACTTACGATCATGATTGATTGTACTAAAAGACCTATCGTTGAATTAGTGTGAATCATTGAACCATATAACAATTGCAATCATAGGTTGGTTAGAGAGATATATGGAGAATTGTAATTTCGATAAATAATAAGAGATCAGATGTTATTAACTGATATTTCCGCAGTTCAGTAAGATGGGATAGAAAGGAGCAACTACACTTACAGATTCGCATTATTCGGTGAAATTACCTGTGATTTCTACATAAGTTCAGTCAATAATCATACAAGGACCGTAGATTGACATCCTTCAACAAAGATTTTATAGACAACTAATAACAAGAACACACAAGTAAGAATGGAAAAGAAATATTTTTAGAACGAAAATAACTTATAATAATCTATTACCTGGAAGTTATAGCAGACTGAGTTGAATGAGAAGTAGAAACACCAGAATCATGATCAACACCAACAGGTTTTCTGGGAGCAATTAATTGGTTAACATTCTGAGATGATTGTTCATTTAATGCTATGGTACTGCTATCAAATCCATGAGAAACACCAGTGAGGGAATTCGATGACTTCAATGAAGGTACAGAACCAGTAGTAGATGGACACTGTGAAGAAACTTTTATTCCGAAATTAGCTGGAACATGAGTTACACGAAACGAGGCTGTCGTGCAGAAAGTAATCGAAAAAAATGTGGACAAACACTCTACGTTGTAAACGTGAAGAAATTTCATTTTTAATTAAGTTAATATATTAAAAATAACACCATACATTCAGTGTGTTGACTAATGTGATCAATAGAAAAATGTTAACTAAAATTAATTAGAAAGAAAATTGTACGATAATCTATAGTGCACAATATGAATAAAATATTAGGTAAAAAGTTTTGATACGGGCCAGTGTGGACTCAAACATAAACTAATATTTCAGTCAATGATTACAACAATTAATAGGTAATATATATTCAGCTTCGATTCGACCAATAGTGTTAGGGTAGACAGTCCGTACAACGTTAATGTACTTACTTGGAATATCTTTTATAATTGATTACTGTAAAGAGAATTAGGAATATATCTTGATGAAAAGTAAAGAACGAACAGAGATAGATTAAGCTACTGTCTAGTGCTTTATAATCTTCGTATTCCTTCAGATGATGTAAGAAATATTGATTCCAATCGTTTAAATCATTAAAATTAGCACTAACAATCTCTAATACATAATTGCTGTCAGATTTGAAGGTCATGGGTTTAATCCCCAGTAAGGCTGTGAATGTGTACTGAATAGATGAATCCATTACTATGGTAAAACAGTTATCTGCCGTCGCCTAGTTTTCAATATTTTCTAACCGAAGTTAGATCAGGTAGTGAAACTCCAAACTTCATAATCAATTAGGTTAATTCATGATTGTAAAACTACAAAGTTATGTATGAAGTAATGTATCAAATCAGTCGTTACCTTGCTCTTGACCAAATAACTGTTCTGCATTTTGGATAAGAATATCTACTAAATGAATTCCTGGACCATTGCTTTGTAAGAAATCTAAAGACTTTCCTCTGAATACAAAAATAATAAAAGTAATTGAATATGGTGTTATAACATTTTATTAATAATAACAGTCAATAAATGATAAAATAATGATGTATTTGTAATATTCCAATGGGTGGAAAATTGAATTCTTACATATTGTGACTGTATAAGTTTTATTACCACAAGGAATATCCATCCAATTCTTAATTTATTTCTAAATTAAAAACTTAAACTCCAGTAAATCAACAGTTTTCAATAAAAGAACAATTAGAAAAAATAACAATGATGTAACGAATTTGTAAAAATAGATTAGTTAAAATATCATAAACTTAGTTCCACTTTTTTTAATTGTGAAGTGAGCAGAAATAAACAATTGAGTACAATAACATGAATTCATTTTATTTTGTTAGCATCTCATCAGCTGTTTACAACGTTTGTTTTAAAATCAAAATTATTAATGCAAGTTAACAGACGAATAACAGTGAAATTTGTTAGATGTTGTTATGTATCATGGTGGAATGGTGATTCTAATGAAGGTGATGAAATTGAACCCGACCGTTGTTGCTAACTTGACGTGGTGGTCGGGCTTGCCTATCGTGATGAAGCAACCGAGCTATACTGGCTGGAACAATCGTTCCTCAAGGTCCTACCATGTCAGACAGGTCGACTGAAGAGCGGTAAGACTAAAAGCAACAAACCCAAGGTCCGAAGGCGAAGTCGTATTGCTGACTGTACAGAGGTGTGACAACAGTAAGGTGTTTCCTTCAGACAACCAGCATAACAGAGATGCTGCCTTCCCACAAGGAGGGGTGGGGTTAGAAAAGGTCGACTCTAAGAATGCACACCTCGCCTTATCCCACGGATATGTCTCCAGCGGTAAGGTCTCAACAAGTACGGAGCTAACACGAAAATTACCCACAAAGAGGTCGTGAGTGACCGAACTCAGGCAGTTGTCCCTTGGGCACTGTGGTCACGCTACCAGGTCACTAAGACCACCTCTAATCCAATCTCTTTTTCAGGTACCTGCAGAAGAACCCTTCCACGGTGTGGGCAACCGGGAAGTGGTAACCGCCCTCATACCTCTAACAGCATTCAAGACCACTGTATTCATAATCAACTTCCGACTGACTGATGAAATTGAAGAAATGTACTGTTGTAAATAAATAGAATATGTGAGAGAGGAGTCTGGATCAGCAAATATGGTAATAAGAGACCACAAAGCTATGAAAATACCTGATTACACAATGAAGTAACTAAACACAGATTAATAGGTTAGTAGAAGCAACATGAATTAACATCAGTCAATTAGAAATGAAATTATTGGCAATACGAGAAAGGGTTAGAAGAATGATGAGATAAACTGACGATAACGTCACTATGGTGGGAAGAAATATGCATTTTATGTGTATGGGTACTGGGTTCGAATCCCAATATGGATATTACCATTGAAATGTAGGAACATCCAACTGGAAAACGCTGAGTAAAAGCAAATGCATAGTATGTATTTCATTGCTAACCATTATCCAACCCTTAAAGGAAGATGAGAATAACAACTTTACTCATAAAATATTGTTACTCCAATTAAACAGAAGTCATATAGTCACTAAAATTTATAAGTTATGTATGGTAGAACAAAACAATATTTTCAGTACTCAGATGAATGGACTATGATAAATAACAATTTAACTGGAAAGTAAGAAATCAAGTTGACTTATCATATACACAAAATTAACAAAAATGTACGCATAAATTGTAAACAGAAACCTAATCACAAAAATGAAATGGAAATCATTTTTATGTGAGTTACATTGTAAGACTAAAATGATATATATATATATATATATATATATATATATATATATATATATATCGTATTTTAGGCTGCATAGTTACGCTGACCTTAAATAACGAGACTATGACCAATCACACTTATGACCTAAAAGAATTCTGTATTATTTACAGTACGATAGAATGTGTTGTCGTTCTATAGGCCCCTAATCAATGAGTTTATTATCATTTATGCAGCCTGACTAATCAGTCTAACTTATAAACTAATCAACTTAACGATCTAAGAAAACTTGAAATAGAAGTTATTTGTTTAAAATTACGATAAATTGTAGTTTGGTTTAAGCGGCTTAATGGTGATTTGTCAAATTAGTAGATTGTATTCGTCATAGATTGGTAGTAGATGGTGTAGCAATGAGAATCAAGGAGCAATGAGAGGGTATTTCTTCCCAGTTTGTAAGTTAGCTGTGTAGAACCATGATAGTGATAGCTAATTATGAATACGAGCATGATCATGAAAACTGGAGTGAATATCCCTCAATAATGTGACATTGTTGCTAGGGTTAGTTTTTAGAGAATCATAATTAGATTAGAACTTTCAAATATCAGGATGTTTACCATTACTAAGCCTTAAAGTTATGATAGACACTAATATGTTCAAGAAGTTTACGGTTTTCCGCCAGAACAAAATAGACTAATCACGCTCAGTAGTCTTGAATGTCGACGATGAAAAAAAACACACAAAGCCTTTACAAACAAAAGTAGTGGACCATTAAGAAAATATACTATGCCATGATGTAAGGATTAATATTGAGATTTACGCATAATAACTGGATTAGCAAAAATAAATTCAAAAATTCATTCAGACAAAAATAAAAATAATTGCTTACAAATCTTCAATTTGTCGCACTGAACTGCCATTGGCAATATTATTACCAGTACCCATGGAACAGTATGAAAGTCTATACACGTTTGGTGCAATCACTATTGATAAATTATCAGAAGTCATTTTATTCACATCTGATTGACTAGACAATTTCTGCAAGAAGCACATTAAGTAGCCTAAATTTAAACGAAACTCCCTAGGCATTTTTTCAAGGCAACTATGAATTAACTGCAGATTAACCTCTGCTGAATTCGGTCTATAATTAAAAAGAGGAAAAGACAGAATGAATGATTTGTGTGTTAAAATAGTGATAGTAAATACAACTAAACTATTTCTAATTGTATGCAAGAATTGACTACGATTGAAAAAGGTATTACATCGAACTAGTGTTAATTTTTTTGCCTAAGCATGAATCATTTTAGTGAGAACCTATTGAAAGGAAGTTGGGTTATTGAGAAAATCCCTCTTCAGTGATTGTGAACATGAGTATTTAAATTTGAAATCCAAACAAATAACTCAACTTATAGTGCAATGAGGTAATAAAAACTTAAGTAATCACTAGAGCTATTTTGACAGATACGTCGGGATCATCCGCAGTATGATTAATTGATCGATATTTTTTACTGTACTGTGAAATTTTGATACAATCATTACGAGAGTAAGCACCAAAATGTCGGGAGCCATGTGATTTCTTTTAAGCGACTATTTATCATTATGAAAGGGTCCCCAAACAAAGATGAATCAGTTTCCGTATCGAATAATTTTCGAATTCAAAACAGGAAAACTAAAATGTAGATAATCATGGGAAAACGAGTTCGTCTGTTTAGTTAAATTGCCCAAAAGAAAAAACATAGCCATCTGAATATAAAATTATCTCAAAGATCAGAAAAGTACTAACGAATAAACTATGAGGTGGTTACAGTTTTAAAGAAGGTATATAATGTATAACGTATTGAGAAATGAATTCGGGAAATAAATCGAGTTCCGATTTTCTCGGAACAAGCAACCTCCAAGGTCATCCTATGACTAACTTGTCGAAGCCGTACTAAAATCTCAACCCGTGTACGGTTGTGATGGTTGAATGCTATTGAGGTTTGTCTAATTAGAACAAAACAAACTCATATGACTATCTTATATCTAGTAGTTCTCCAATTTAACAGAATAAGAATTAACAAAAAATGTCTTTAATTATATTAGTAATCTTATGTGAGTTCTTCACAGAAAATATTTTAATAATGCTGAGCAAGTTTTATGATTAATTAACTGACAAACAGAATGCTTACTAATAGATGATGAGCAACTAAACAATACGATTGACTGATAGCTATTTAAGTTATGAAAAGAGCAACTGGCAGAATAGGTTTCTCTTCGAGCAAGGTGATATACCTTTACACAAAAATCAAACTTGATTCAATGTCACTGAATAAATAACCGGTTGAAAAAAATGAATTTGGAGGTCACTCATTCGCTAAAAAGATTTGAAACCTGACCAACAGACCCAATTTTTACCTACTAAATATAAATACTGAAAAAATGTCACCAAAATGCTACTTTTGATTTTGTAAGTGGCATATAAAAATATGGACATATCTGTTAAATGTTTTCATAGATAACATAAAATGATTGGCGAGATAAGCAGAAATTTACGATGCATGTTGTATAAAACTTTATCTAATCCAAATTTCTAATAACGATCATTGGCGTATCATTAATACTATACGTCGATGACATAACGCAGTCATCATCCAGGAATACACAAACCAAATAATATTCACAATTTAAGAGAAAAATATGATCATTTATTAAACGCAACACATCTTTTTTTCTTACAATAAAAAATAAGGTGTTTCTAAATGAAATATTTTATCCAAAAAAGGAAGTTACTTTTTAGAAGCAGCAGCCCATTGATCAGCGAAATCATAAGTGATTAATGGTTCAGGTAGACTAAGCAAATATTGTTTCAAAGCAGCAGCAACAACAGCACAGTCACATTTTCTAAGTAAATGTTCATCGATTTGCATGATATTTAAAGCTTTCTGAATAATGATATAAAAAATGTTATTAACAATAAAAATATTAATAATAATGAAGTAATGTACAGAAAATGTCGATATGTTCATATCCAACAACCAAGTTTAGGCGACGGTAATTCGCGTTACGTCCTCTTAATTTTGTAATTGTCAGCCCATCTGCGAGAACGCAGTAAGTAGGACTTCCTTGGGAGTGGCTGTATACGCGTAGACATGTGAGAGCATTTCGAGTGGGAGAGCAGAGTCTCCTCACCTTCGGCCGTACCAGGGCATCTGGGGACTATTATCAACATCATTATCACAGCTGAACTGTGAAAATTCAAAATGAAACACGATTAGAGATAACTCTTCATCGTAGCAAAATTGAGAGGAATGAATGACAAAGATGTTATCATAGAAAAATTTCTCAAAGTCGAAAAGATAAACCAATGAATTCTAACTTGATGATCTGAACATATCATGAAAATCACGTTCTATAATTGATCGGTCGCTGAATAGTGATAAATACCATGTTTGTCAACTGATATCCTGTCGACGGACTTGGAATGTCGCAACTAGTATAAGTAAATCAACATATCTTGTACTCTGTAAAGATATCAAATGGTTGTAGGTAATCGGCAGGACATTGATGATTACTTAGTGATCAATCAACCGTAAGTATCTCAGTATCATTAAAGATAAGTCGCAGCCCAAACAGTCAATTATAAAATCTCAGACTGTGAAGCTGGATAATTCAGGTACAAATGCCACAGAGGGCACCGATTCTCCTAAGACAACCAGCTCGCCTTTCTGAAAAGTGCATGAAACAGGGTTTCCTGCCCACCTTTAACCGCCTGACATGAAACACCTCTTAACAAAACAAGCAAATTTAAGGTGGATCGATTGCATAAATATGATACAGTGGTGTAAACTATCGACTTCGAAGCGCTGTATTACAACTTAAGCATCAACCTACATCTAAGTTTAAAAATTGAAAAGATAATTGTCTTACTAGGGAACCCGTTACTTACGTACATAATTTTTGTGGCATTACTTAACTAACCTCAACCCAACCGCTACGCATGTGAAATAGTGTTAAGAAAAATAGTATTCAACTTTTATTTACCAGTTTTTAAGGTTAACGGAACTAATAATGAGATGTCGAACATGAGATATAAACTAATAATGAACCTACGAGTAATTTTCAAATCGTTATAACGAAAAAATATGTCCTTCCTATGAGATTTCAATTCAAAACGTTTAATGATGTAAGAAGCAGCCAGTCACAACGTAGAGTCTAGCACGTACGTACGTCAGCTCAAGTTGCCATAGACCATTAGTACAAATAGATGAAATTGGCAGGCCAAATTTGTGAATGGCAGAGGTAGTAATAGTATCAGTGGTAAAAGGAAAGGTAAGGTATCGAAAATACCGTTTTGTCGGCTCAGTGGTCTAGAGGTTAGGCGTGCGCGTGCAAGACCGAAAGATCTTGATTTCGAATTCCTTGTGAAGGATTGTGAATGAGCACTCCTGGAGAGTCTCATACTAGGATGAAGCGGTTGTTCAGTGGTTCCAGCTTTTCGGTGGTGGTCTGATACTGATAAATTCATGATTTCAAATAAATTTATATCACATCAAGTGTTTTATTTGTTGAGATACTAAATGTTGGAGAAATAAAACCTAAACACCATGCCGAAATGAAAGATAGATTTCAATTAATGGAAGATGCTTGTAGCAGCTGAACTGATAGAAAGTGCTAATGGTTGGTTGAATACTGATGACAGATAATGACTGCAGAAAAAGATTTTTAAAAAGTGTTTTGAATAATTACTATTTGAATGTATATTGAAAAGATATTTGTTGTAACGTCGCACAATTGGTGCCGAAAATTCTTCACTGTACACGAAATTTATAGCACAGGATAGAGCTATTATCAATATTATTGTCATGATTATTATTATTTTTATAAGGAAATACATAGGTACTCATAGGAAATGTCCACAATATTATTACTTGTAAACACTTTTACAGTCTACAATGAGTATTTTTACTTACTACTAAGAGGTCTGTCCGTTTTTGGGATCCAGACTTTCGAAAAAGACCCTGAAACAAATAACAGGATTCACATGTTACAAATTTAAATGATGTACTCTGCCTTAAATCTGGCCAATTTTATGGATTATTAATTTGGATTTATAATTGTAGAACCTGATGAGAAATTATTGAAAAGAATATTCTTCGTTCATGTATCTGTGTTTTAATTTAAAAACAATAGAATAACACTAATAATATAAGATACAGCATACAAACAAATAATGGATATATAGAAAAGCCATATACCAATGAATAAGTTTATTGAAATCTAAGATCTATATCAGTAGACGTTCCAGTATCAAACGAGAAATTCTCGAATGTAAAAATACAACAAATAAACATTACCACCTTATTGGCACTGATCGATTGAAAATCGACACCATATAACATCAGTAATCACATATTGAAATCAAACTAAGTTCTTAAAGATTACAAATATTTTAGGAAGTGACTGGTTGTTGTGTAGATATTCACAGACAATTGTTTACTCGAAATATGGAACTCCTGAATAGTCAAACGGAGTGAAAACGATCGACTAACATGGGCGATAAGTCATTTGGCCCTAATTGCAGATGAACAGTTGAACAAAGGAGTTATTCTATTTGAAAAGATTAATCTGTTTATGATACTTTATTCCAATGAATTGAAAATGAAAAACTCAATCAATCTGATAACATATATGATTACGATCTACTAATATTGGTTAACTGGCATCCAGTGTCAATTAACAGTTCCATATACATTCAGTAAAAATTACCATTGAATAGTATGTAACCACCTTGATACAGCTAAGGTAACACTGGATACTGGTTTGTATGGCACTAGTGAAGCTGAGATTAGTTTTACATTTTCTCTCGATACACTCACTTTCTTCTAATTAGGTGTTCATTAACAGTAATTAGTACTAAATGACAAGGTATCATTCATATGACAGGTTCAAAGTTTATTGTCTAACCAATTATCAGGATTAATACGATAATAATACAGAAAAAATAACAAACAAACAAATATACCAGGCTTTGTGTTGTTTAGATAACTTGGATAAACATAGATGAGTGATAACCATAATAAAAAGAGATAACATATTAATGCGTGCTTCGATATTGTCTCACTGAAATAATAACAATAATAATAATAAAATTTTAATTTAAGAAAGTAATAAAAAAATTTGATGTAAGTTTATATATGAATAACATCATGACTGCTAGAATAAACATTAAGGAATTATCAAGAAAACTGTACAAAAAACTTAAGGTAGATATAAAATATGGCGACCCACATTATACAATAGGACTTAGATACAAAATAGTAATAATAATAATAATAATAACAGTAATAATAATAATGGTACTAATAATCAAATCGTATATATTTTCGTGTCGACAGACTATGTAGGTTAAAAAGTAAAGTATGTTATGTTGTAAATTCTATATAACCTATTGGTATAACATCATTAAACCATTAAACACATTTTTCTAAAGACATCAATTTGTTTTTGAACACATGAACTTGACTAATCCGAATAGCGGTAGTTTACAAGACATGTTAATTTTATTTATTTATGATAGATATTCAGCTAAATACACAAATAGGTCTGTTTCCAATCATGAATACCTCACGTTCAGAACTTAAATTGCTGCTTTTAGTCTCTAACCGAGCTATGTGGTATGGTAAGACATAAAGAAACAATATAGCTCGACTGGGTCATTATGACATACAAACCCGACCGTTATGTCAGGATTAACACCTATGGTCGGGCGACGAAATACAAACGTATTTATATAAATATACTTAATAGAATACAGTAACAGATCCTCATTTAGAAAAGTGCGCTTCAGTTTGATAAGTTAGAGATATTTTGGTTCTGTTTATAATTGCAAAGAAGTTCCAAAAAAGAAAAAATAGCATAAATGAGAGGTATTTGTACATAAAGAAGTACGAACATTTGTCGTAATGAGTGTAATAATTATGGTTGAACTCACATTATAGTAAGTGTTGACATTAAGAAATGTTCAGTTTCATTAATTTTAATACATATTTCAGTAAAAATCGTTTTTTATACTCTAATTCAAATAAATGAGCAAACGATTATACATAGAAATATATAACAAAACACCGTCTATTAAGTGGCCAAAGTGATGTGCTAATATATTTTATTCTTTCAAATACAATAAAAAATCTCGAAATCTAATCTAATATATTATATATATGTACTAACGTTAATGAATATCAATAATTACAAAACTAAGGATAAAAATGAGTCTTGCCAACTGCTGCATCAGTTAACTACTTAATGGTCATATGAAAACATGATTCGATCGAAAGTATGGGGGTTGACGAGATTGTTAAGTGCTATTGAGATCGCAGACCAATTTAAGTAAGATAGCCATCAAAAACCTGGAAGCACTGAACAGTTAATTGGTTCAAGTACAAGAATCCTTAGTAGTGCGCATTCACAACACTGACACTATGGGTCGAACCCAGGACCTTTGGTCTTGAGCACGAACACGCAGTAGTGTACAAGTTAAGCATTCGGACGCTAGACCGAAGGTTCGGGGTATGATCCCCGATGACAGTGTCCTGAATGAGTACTGCTGAGGAGTTCCAAGCTAAGATGGATCTGCTGAATTTCATCAGTGATAAAACCGTCTAGATAAAATAGTAGTGATTAACTAACTATATTCAGTGATCAATCAGCATTAAGATTGCATCTAGTCATTTAAGACGATCACCACCTAAGTCTGGTCATTTTGTGGTGTATGCTACTTATGTCGACAAACATAAGTAGTATGTAACACCAATCAGAAGTGGAATGCTTGGAAACAGAAGGTTAGGAAAATCGAATCGAAGAGATCGGGAACAGAGAGTGATTGTTATGACAAAGGAACGGTGAAGTTTGAGACAATTGATAAAGGATTTGCAAATAAAAGATTAAACATATAGTCTTCACATTTTACGAAAGAACTCTGTAATTTTCTAATGAGGTATACTCGGCTGGTCAAATCTGTGTTCTCGTTCACAACAATTTTAGTAAGGATTAAGTAATCTTTTCTGTTAGCCTATTGCTACTGATAAATTCATATATGTTAATTCACTTTTAGGTGAACGGATTTGTTTTACTTTTTCTTAATAATGTTTTACCTTAATAAAACATTTTTATGAGAAATCTGTTATAATTAACATGATGTTCATGTGATGTATCATTTTGTAAAATCAATTCATATACATGTATATACAACATAATCTAAAGGCAGAACCGACTCACATTCTTACATCAAGGTAGAATAAGAATTTCTTAACATAGAAACAATACCACCAATCATAGATACATGAAAATCTATGTATATAAAAATACAGACATACAAAAATGTTTGACATTATTTTTTGACATTTATTGATCGACAGAATACACAATGCGAAATGATAACTAAGGAGAGAGAGAGAGAGAAGATAATGGATGTTAAGTATTCAACAATAATATTCAGAATTCAAATCTACAGTAAACGAACAATGGTGTATAAGTTTGTTGAACATTAATTAAAGAATAATGAATACTTGTGTAAATCAATTCTATTTTTTGTTGGAAAAAAAGACACATTAAATCTCTTAAATAATGGCACAATGTGCATAAGATGTAAATTAGTTAAATTCATTAAAGTAAATGACTAAGTGACTACATATAGATATATGTTAGCGTAGTTTAGAAAAAAACATTGAGAACTTAATCATAAAGATGGCAAATGGAATATTTTAAGAAGTATTAAGGTTAAAATCGAGATAATAAATAGTAATAGTTCAAGTATACTGGCTAAAAAAACAACGGAACATGTAATTAAGATAGGAGAATTTTTGACATTGTATATACAGGAATAGAACCCGAAAGTCCCGAGGTCGTGGATAAGAAACGTTAAGAAGTTAGGTCAACAGGAAACCTTAGATTTAGGTTTTGTATTCGTTGGCACTAGTCAGCACAGAGTACATGCAATATCGAGGGAACTGATAGTCTCTGGTAAATTTGAAACTGGACCACTCAGTTTTATAAATTGACGCGCTAGTAGTAAGCTATACGGCCCGCGTATACGGCTGAAGTATTTACACTGACTGAGAAGTAGTCAATGTCATGTTTTTTAGTACCAAACTGGTATACGACGACTAATCTAAATGACTCAAACACTGCATGAACTATGTTTTGATGTCTGGTTGGTTTTAGGCGATTGAAAGAAAATCCTTGATCAAGATTTCTTGCAACTTGATCATGTCACTCGATCAGAATTAATGACAGGATAAATATGAAATTAACAGCAATCCAGTAGGGATCAGATCAATCAGTGTAAATAAAATCTATAAACCGTTAAATGAAAACACCTGCGCCTATAGATCTTAATCTCAGTTAGTCTAAAGTAAAAGTAAATTTCAATTAAACGTAATTAAACTAAACTGAATGAACAGTGCAATAAGACGTAATATATTAATAATCAAAAGCGGTACTTTGAATATGTTGAAGAGTAGCCGCCACATTGTCATGTCGTTGTGCACACAAACATATTGTGGATCTCTAACGGTGACTGATGATAATATGGTATATTATATCTATGATACATCCCAAAGATCATATTAATAAGCAATCTTAATTAATCGTAAAACAGTCTTTTTAATGGATTCAAACAAAATAACAAGAAAATTACATGATATATATGAAGTTTCCTGTAACATTCAGTGGCTGGATTTTTACGAACAGGTAATTTTGTAATGTAAAAAAATATTAGAAATAGAGCAGCGATTTAATGATTGAAACATTTGGCTTTTACGTGCTGAACCTCGAACTCAAATTTTGCTCCACTCACTTCGGTAGATACGTAAGATCATTTAGTTTTTGCATAAAAAATGTAAAGGTTGAAGCTAAATGCCTAAAAATAATTGACAGATACGAAGAGAACCTTGGCGGCCTGTTTAAATATCTGGGTAACCTGTTCCTACCATCTACGTATTTCAACAAGTTATGTCTTTGTTTTAATATATAATTATGTCTATTAATCGCACAAACTATTCAGGTGCATCTACGTAAAGTTTACGACCTTTCGCTGTACAAGTTTAAAAGAAAGTACAATTTGAGACATCGTGGTGGATGACAATTTACACTGTAAAGAAAGAACGTTATTCAGATATCAATTCCTGAATTGCTAACATCTAACTGGAGATTACTCTATATTTATCGTTAATATCGATCAAGAAATAAGAAACGGAAACTCGCTGAAATACTTTGTGCTGAAAATTATATATTGCGCCAAAGCCACTAGTAATAATAGTAATAATAATTTTTGATAAATGATAAAAGCCCAAACAGAACAATTAATCATTAAAAATTAAGGTTGGTAAATAAAACCCTCCACCAATCAGTACAGAATATGGGGCTTTTTTAAAATTCGAAATATGAGTTATGGTTTCAGAATAGCGAGAAAGTTAACTTTTATTTTATAAATTAGGTGAAAATACACTTTGTAATATATATTGTGAATAACGGAGCAAATAAATTAATGAACATTTGAACAACGCGTAAAAGATATGGACCATTTAAGATATGATTTAGCAATAATTACTGCAGTATTCCAGCTTACCTCTTCTTGCATGATAGATTCTTGATTCAAATAATTAATACATACGTCTAGGACATAGGCGATAGATCGTTTAGTCTCGGCTAAATGATCAGGTAGATGTCGGCCAAATGTAGTAAGACATTTCTGTAGTCCTATAGTCCAGAAAAAAAACCAATGATAAATAAATGTATCGGGTTTGCACAGCAATCAAAAGGAAAAAGGACGATCTAACAGATAGAAATGATAGATTGAAAGTTTGTAAAAAAAATATGTTATCGAAGGATAAAACAGGCACTAACGAACCCATTTAAAAGAAATGTGACAGATCTTCACAAAATATTAACTGTCCAACTTTTTGATACAAAAGAAAACGCATAAGCTTATGGAGTAAGCGAAGTTTAATTCCTAGGGTATTTTCCTATCTTAGCATTCATCACAATTAATAATTTAACAAAACCCACATTTATCAAGTACAAATTCACGTGTTCAGTTTTGACTAGTAATTTAAGTATGAGATCCAATGACACTAACTGAGTCGTGTAATCGAAGTAAGGAAGGGTTCAAAACTTAAATTCAGCTATGGTAAATTAAAAAACAAAATGTTTTAACCACCAAGTAGGTACGCCTTCCATACCTCGACTATCACAAGATCAAGTGAAAATGTAAATAAGTAAACAGGAAATGTTCTAAAATATATGTGGACACTGAATACCATAATGTATTCATAAGCTTTCACATTTGAAAAGATTCCGAATAATGATTTTTATTATTTTGATAAAAGTTCTTTTATCTAACTGGAAAATGTTATGCGATTCAGTTGCGTATATGTCAAGTCAGATATGACAATACATAAAATTTTCAAGTTCAAAAAATTTTTCGTTCTTGAGTTGTGAAGACAGTTGAATCTCATGGACCGATCAATGTTAGAGTACCAATGAAAACTTGAAAACAGTGGACGGTCGATGGATTGATTGATGTTAGACATTAACACTGTTGGATGTCGACTTAGTGGCCTAGAGGTTAAACGATCGAGTGCGAGACAGAAGGTCCTGCGTTCAAACCCTAGGTGTGGGATCATGGACGCGCATTGCTGAGGAGTTCAATACTAAGACGAATCGGTCATCTAATGCTTCTGGGTTTCCAATGGTGGTTTAACATTGATCGTTCATGAATTAAATGAAAAAAAATAACGAAAATTAAAATTGTTACAGCTTTGGATTATTCAATTGTTAATATATTTGGCTGAACTTTGATCGGTCTCAGTTTGGATTGTATATCCCGTACGGAATGCCTTGGTGAAGCCATTATGTTACACGTTATTATATGATAGATGGGATGTAGTTCGAGGTAGAGTATAGGATGCACTTTCCGTTTTATCCCATCTATTCTATGTAACATAAATATGTATCCTTTGATTTTGTGTATCGATTTTTTTTGAAAAATTATGTTTTGTTAGTAAATGATGCCGTCAACTGTGGATTTTTTTAACTGAGTCAGAATTATTTTTTTCAACGTTCATCAACAAGCACCTCGACCTTCAATAAGTGTGTTGTATAAGGTACTTTCAACCATTCTTCTGATTACTTAGAGGGCGTTTTGAGTATCGGTGTGTAACTTTCCATTTAAAGCGTCTAGAGGAATCTGTAACTATCTAGATTGGGCATGGTAGTGAAGCCCAGCAAAATATACTGGATGAAGAGACAGTTATAGTAAAAATTACACTTTAATATGTAATGAATACTAAATGAACGAGAGAAAAGTTCAGAGTCCAATGTGCACCACATTTACTGAGCGTTCATAATGGCGCGCATAACGTTGGCTAAATTTCAGTTCAATAGAAAACTTAACGACACAATAAACTGTTAGTTGTTTAAAGAATCTTCAGACATGGAGTATGGGGTAGGTGGTACAACGAGACATCAGAAAAAAAAGCATTCCAACCAAGCTAGGGTAATATTCAACTATCACCACAACAAAATACCAGCTATTGATAATCAGACTACGTTGTTTGAATGTCAAGGAGTTATAACTTAGTTGGTTATATAGTGAATAGACTTTTATTACAAATACGAGTTAAGTTCGTATTTAATTAATCGAAAAAAAACTATAATCTTAATATATAAAATTCAAACTGATCAGAAAACATGCATAAAAAATATTTTGTCATGGAATAGGTAACATATTACATGATTGTAAGTTTAAGACAGGTTCGCTTGTATAAATATATTTTACATTATACAACTTCACAATGACGGTGCACAAACACAAATACGTTATGAAAAAACGCGAAACATTACCGTCTATTATAAATAAAAAAATATATTTGTAATATTCCAATTAATTTATTTATAACAATCTACCCAATGCTCAATTTATTCGGAATTATCAAGTCAGACCTTGGTAATGATACCAACAAATTACCATCGATTATTAAGATATGACAAAATTAACAACAAAACTATGATTTTATTTATATGAGCTCAATGTTTAATTTTGTGCCTGATGTTGACAATAAGTTTCAGATTAAATGTTTGTTACCATATTTGTTTTTCAGCTATAATAATAATAATAATAATAATAATAATAATAATAATAATAATAACCGCGCAAATATGCGGAAATGTTGTAAATTTATTTAGTGTATATAAGAGAATTCGGAAAGAGTAGTTAGATATTTAAAATAATATACGTTAGATACAAATTGTAATCTGTAAAACTACAGCTTACGAATTTGTAAATTTTTATTACTCTAATGTTGACATACAAGAATTGAATTTTAATCAGCAACTGTTAGTATATATGAATTCTGAATGAAAACCTTGAACCACGTTTATCGTCAAATTAGCGGTTACCCGGAGTAGACCAACATGACTCAATGAGTTGCAAGGAGCCTGTAGAAACAAATACTTATAAACGGCCACCAAAATGACTCTCTCTTGTGCCTAAACGGCCGACCTGTGCATTCAAATTTCAAGCTAACACTACAATGCACTTTCTGAAAATCACTTAACTGGTGCCAAAACTGATCTTAGATTGAATCCGGACTGACATTGGTCGGAGCGCAGGCAGAGATAACGGGAATACATTATATTTTTCATCGACTTACCGCTATGATGGAGCTTCCTAATCTAACAAAGCATGATCAACTGTTAGTGGGGACTTAAATTAGTGTCATCTAAGCTCTAGTGCTTAGTGCGACACTAACACCAGCAAAACCGAATGAATATGTCACAGGATCCACGGATAACCGCACATATACCAAGCTTTTCGGGGCGTCAGATAGAGTGTGAATTTGTGGTACTTTACTAGATTCTTGAGTATGGGTCTCGGATAGATAGCAGAAATCTATGTTAAGGAATTCTAAAGACAGCCAATCATGTCTGTAGTCCGATCTGCATTAGTATGCAAGCGTTGAATGAGGCCAGTTTGAATGGCATATGCAGTTTCAGAAAGCCCGATTCAAAATTCCTATTCGAGGGTAGCATTCGATTTACGGCCAGTCAGTGACCTGAGATCGTTTGAGTAGAACAGGTTTTCAACTATTGGCGAGCTGATGTATGGATTGACAAATAAAGGGATATACAAAGTGGGGATGAAAAAGAATCGACAAATGATGCAATGTAACATAAAAACGAATGTTACCGAATAATTGAGTATAATTTATGAGAGGATTGAAACGAGAATAATTCTTTTGAGTTTTTAATTATCATTCAGTTTTTGTGTGGGATAGCATACTGTCCAAGTGCCTAAACCAAAACAGTTGGTTTTATTAGAGGACCACTCCTCGAGCCTTTTACTGTGGTATAATCCACAATGTAGTGGAACGACGTTAAGAGATGCGGTTCCATGGTAGCCGGTGACCAACAATAGGTTCAAACGCCATTTGTTCCCTCAGGATCCTGGAGCCTATGTGCATCACTGGGTTGAAATAAGGATCTCCAACTCCCCTAGATGGATCCTCCGTACTCACCAACGCGATCTGAGTGCCGGACATTCGCTTTCTATCCTCTCAATCTCGTAAACAACACTCCCATTGCAAGAAGGCAGTGACTATATACGCATGGCCATATGGGAGGATTTTGAAAGGGAAAGTGAACTCTTGCATTTGTTTAGTTACATAAAATAGGAAGTTAGTGTTGGGTCGGCTTCCAGAGAACTTCAACGGAGCCTCCAGAGGCCCAAAAGGAGCCGAAGAGTCCTAGCCAATCAGAGTGTGATGGAACGTTCCAGAATTCCAACGTGGCGTGCTACTATTGGTCGGTAGCATAATGTGTTGTTATCGGATTGGCTGTAAATTGATGTTGATTTAACAGACGCCAAAATCTATAAATACCCATGATTTTCTGTACAAAAATGAACCTTGGAATAAAGTGCTTTCTCTCATTCTTGTGTCTTCTCTCTGGAGTTCAAGTCGCTGTGTAGTTCTAGACTGCGGGTTACCGAAAAAGCTTAGGAACCGTATATAGCGTTCAACCTACACGACTTATCAGTGGCAACGGGGATGAAAACTTCAATGAATATTTCCTTGGAGCAATTAGAAGCTTATATGGTGCGTCAAGAAAAGAGGTTTGAAGAGTCCCATATTAGAATCATGGAAACCCTGATGCAGAAATTCTGCCTGTCCGAGAAAAACCCTGCTTCTAGTGAATCTCAAGTATCACATACTGATTCAGTCATTAACGCCATCCATGAATTTAACTTTGATGGTGTAGCAGGTATAACTTTCGAGTCGTGGTTTAAGAAGTATGAAGATTTGTTTTATATTGATCTTTGCAAACTGGATGATGCTTCAAAAGTCAGAATACTTCTTAGAAAACTTGGGACTATGGAACATGAACGCTATAGCAACTTCATTCTTCCGAAGAACCCACGAGATTTTAGTTTTGATGATACAGTCAAAACCCTATCCCAAATCTTTGGAGAACAGTCATCTCTATTTAATATTCGTTACCAGTGCTTAAAGTTAACGAAAGAACCAGGAGATGACTGGGTGAAGCATGCAGGAACTGTGAACCGAGAATGTGAGAGATTTAGATTGTCGTCCATGTCTGAAGATCAGTTTAAATGCTTAGTATTTATCTGCAGCCTGCGTTCACCCGAAGATGCCGATATCCGAACCAGAATCCTAAGCAAACTCGAACACTGCCCTAATATGACCCTGCAAGAAGTGACTACTGAGTGCCAAAGGTTAGTAAACTTAAAGCATGATACCTCAATGGTAGAAAACGGTAACTGTTTCCATAACGTCAATGCAGTCAAGAGAAAAGTCTTTCAAGGTTCCAGTACCCAGAATTTCCAAAATAACAGCGACAAACCATCATCTCCATGCTGGGCATGTGGAGGTTAGCACTATAAGAGGTTTTGCCCACATAAAGAACATCGCTGCAGCAAATGTAATCGGAAGGGGCATAAAGAAAACTTCTGCAGGAGAAGAGACTATAGAAAACGTTCCGTGAAATCTTACTCAAAGAAATACAGATATAGTGCTCCAACCAACAAGATATTGGTATCACATAACAGAGCACGAAGTTGCTACCAAAGAAAGTATGTGACCTTGAATATTAATAAACACCGTGCCCGCCTTCAGCTGGACACAGCTTCTGATATTACTTTAATCAGCCCAGAAACGTGGAAGAACATTGGGAGACCCACAGTTTTCCCAACAACACAGCTGGCACACAGTGCATCTGGGGGGAAGTTGAATATTGTTGGAGAAATACCATGCACTGTTTCTAAAGGTACGGTAACAAGAAATGCAACATTGTATCTCACTAAGAAGCCAGCACTAGACTTAATGGGGTTGGACCTTATAGAAACACTTAAACTAGCAGATCATTCTATCAACAGTATCTGCAGACGAGTAAGTACAGACAACATCCCAGAATGGAATCAGAAAAACGCCATGCTACAAAGACATCAAAACGTGTTTAGAGAAGGATTGGGAGAATGTACGAAAGCTAAAGCACTGTTAACTTTAAAACCTGAAGCTGCTCCCGTTTTTCGACCTAAAAGACCCGTACCCTATGCTGCTCTTCCAATAGTTGAACAAGAATTACAACGACTTCAGCAAATGGGTGTTATCGAGCCTGTGAACTTCTCGAATTGGGCTGCACCAATAGTAGTGGTCAAGAAGTCGAATGGAAGTGTTCGTTTATGTGCAGACTACTCCACGGGATTAAATGAAGCGCTACAGTCTCACCAGTATCCGTTACCCTTACCAGAAGATCTTTTCGCTAAGCTGAACGGTGGCAGATATTTTGCAAAATTGGACTTATCAGACGCATACCTACAAATTCCTGTATCTGATGAAAGCAAAGATCTCTTAACGATCAACACGCACAAAGGTCTGTTCCGGTATAACCGACTACCTTTTGGGGTAAAGACAGCGCCCTCTATTTTCCAGCAAATTATGGATACCATGTTACAAGGTATTCCAGGAGCTGCAGCTTACCTAGACGACATCATAATTACGGCAGTAGATAAAATGGACCTGCAGAAGAAACTGGACCAGGTACTAGAACGCATAGCTGATTATGGTTTTCGCCTCCGAGCGGAAAAGTGTGACTTCTATATGCAGCAAGTACGGTACCTTGGGTTCATAATAGATAAAGACGGAAGACGACCAGATCCAGAGAACATTGAAGCAGTGAAAACAATGCCTAGACCCAGGGACGTTAATACCCTACGATCATTCTTGGGATTGGTCAGTCATTACGGTACCTTTCTCCCCGATCTCTATCGTCTACGTGCTCCACTAAACAACCTACTACAAAAGAACACAAGATGGAATTGGTCTGCAACTTGCCAAGCCGCTTTCGATGAAATCAAGAAAGTACTAGTCTCGGATCTGCTGCTCACCCATTACGATCCATCCTTACCCATTGTAGTGGCATCAGACGCATCAAACTACGGCATAGGAGCAGTTATTTCTCACATCATGCCAGATGGATCCGAGAAAGCGATATCACATGCGGCTAGATCGTTAACGTCAGCAGAACGTAACTATAGTCAGATCGAGAAGGAAGCATTGTCGATTATCTTCGCTGTCAAGAAATTTCACAAGATGATATTTGGACGTCAGTTCACCCTATTAACTGACCATAAACCATTACTAGCCATCTTTGGGTCGAAGAAAGGTATACCTGTATACACCGCAAACAGACTGCAACGATGGGCAACCACACTTCTGGGTTATGACTTCAAGATCAAGTACCGGCCAACTACTGACTTTGGACAAGCTGACGCTTTATCTAGACTGATTGGTTCACAAGTAAAACAGAAAGAAGACACTTTGGTGGCAGCAATCGAGACTGAAACAGAAGTACATCGAGTTTTGGAAGACGCAGTTGATGGTTTACCGGTTACTTTCAAGGCCATTAAAGAAGCCACGGAAAATGACAAGACCTTAAGAGAGGTTAGTGGTTATCTTCTCAACAAGTGGCCGAACCGTCGTTTTCAAGGAGAAATGCTACAATATTTTCGCCGACGGGACTCACTTATGATGGTCGACTCATGTGTTATGTTTGGCGACAGAATTATTGTTCCAGAAGTATTACGCTACAAGGTTCTGAAACAATTCCACAGCGGTCATCCTGGCATCAATAAGATGAAAGCATTGGCTCGAAGCTACGCATACTGGCCTACGATGGATCAAGATATCGAAAACAGATGCCGCAATTGTTCATCGTGCCTACAAGCAGCCAAAAGTCCAAGCAAGTGTGAACCGCAACAATGGGAAAAGCCGAATAGTCCCTGGGAGAGGCTGCATGCAGACTTCGCCGGTCCAATACGAGGAAGAATGTATCTAATCATAGTAGACGCGTTCACAAAATGGCCACAAATCTACGCCATGGTGAATTGCACAGCCGGTGAAACAATCAGCAAATTATCCGACCTGTTTAGCTGTTTTGGAGTTCCGCAGACGTTAGTGACCGATAACGGTTCACAATTCACTGCAGAATCATTCAAGCACTTCTGCAACGTTAATGGCATTGTGCACATACGATCTCCCCCGTATCACCCTCAATCGAATGGCCAGGCAGAGCGCTTCGTGGATACATTGAAGAGAGCACTTCTGAAAGGGGGAGGAGAAGGGACAACCGGGCAGGTGATCGCAAAATTTTTAACATCCTACAGATCCACTCCGAACCCGAATGTTCCAGACGGCAAATCTCCCGCGGAAGCCATGTTTGGGAGGCGCATTCGAACCATCTTCGATGCCATGTTGCCATCCAAATTAGTGGATGAGCGCAGTCACGGTCCAAGTATCCGAAACTTCAGTGTTGGTGACAAAGTTTACATCAAGTCCTACATCGGGAAGAACCGATGGGAGCCGGGCGAAGTAGTGGAAAAACTGGGAAGAGTACTGTACAGAGTTCGAGGAGCTTTTGGGACATGTATACGTCATACAAATCAAATCCTTAAGGACAAAAGAACGGTGCAGACTCGAAGTAACCGGCCGATTTTCCCGTTAGATTCAATCTTAGACGCACCAACGCCACAAACGCCCAGGAACAGTGAAAAGAAGCCTTGGACAAGGGAAACGACAAGAATAATGGGGCGCCGTCGCTGCCCAGTCGTCAAAATACAATTAGATCCCAGAAAGAAATCTTATTCGGGGGAGGTGTTGGGTCGGCTTCCAGAGAACTTCAACGGAGCCTCCAGAGGCCCAAAAGGAGCCGAAGAGTCCTAGCCATTACAGTGTCGAAACAATAGCTCACTCACTATGTACGCCTGAATTTCAATATGGGAAAAACGATAGTGTGTTGACGGTTGCATATGTGTAGTAAGATAAAATTTAAAGGAAGTGTATATTAAAATGACAACTTACTGATAGTTTGAGATATATCGGAAATCACTTTTTGAACCAACTGTAAACTATCCGATAAATAATTTTCTTGTAATTCAAAGTACTTAAGTATAAGGCGTGAATAGTTTTCTTCTTCAGCGGCGAATGAATACAGATCACGAAGTAACTGTTCCTGGATTTTTTGATAAGAACAAAAAAGGGGGATAAATAATCAACTTACAAATTTTAGTTGGGTGGAATTATCATTATTAACACTGAATTTGTACCGAGTTCTACACCAAACTGAAGCCAATAATTTGAAAGGAATTGTAAGTAGAGCCTTTGTCGAAATAAATGTGTTTAACACAGACTGGTCTTAAACAACCACTGAAAAACAAGAAGTGCTGAACAATTGTTTAGTTCTAGTATGGGACTACTCAGCAGTGACCACTCGTGGCCCCACCGAGAGTCGAATCCAGGACCTTCGGGCCTCGTAGTGAGCGCTTAACCTTGGGATCACTAATCCAGTTGTCTATATATCTAGTTTGAACCGATTAGCGATATTTTCCACTCATCTCCCAATGACATTAATGGTTAACTACTTCACAGTCAACAAGGTTGAACTTCACTGACCACAGCTTCTCTGTAGGACTTCTGGAGATTATTTACTGGGGAGCACATGATTATTACTGTTGTTAGTATAAACTATTGAATCCAGAACCAGCCGTCTAAAGGTTAAACGCTAGCTGAGAGGCCTTAAAGTCCTGAGTTCGACACTCCGTAGGGTTGTATATGTTCATTGCTGAGGAGTCCCATATTTGGACGAGACGGCCGTCCATTATTTTTCAATCTCGGTGGTTATCTAACTTAGATCATTCTGTGATGCAAAATCTGAGACTATGAAATGATATTGGGACATAAAATCTATGAAAAGATAAAGAATGAGTGCACTTCTGGGTCTCTATAATTGATTTCTAACCGTATTACTACTTTCATACACTGAATGTTTGCCAGGAATACTTACAATAATTGAGCGTATCTTCCATGTCTGTCCTCGTTTCATATAGAATTCCTACTTATTTATATCACTTTCTGACAAGTAACTTTGATTAGCATATACTACTTTGATGATATTGTTACTTTTTTATTTATTATTACTATTCTTTATTTTAAATACTCTTATGTATAAGATAAATATCGTGGTTGACTTAGTGTCTCAATACGTTTTCAACAATAGATTATACTAAATATTAGACTCAAATCTCCAATACACAAGAATTACTCTGCATTTTTTTACTTATTATGTAGTACACATATAGAACATGTTCAATTAAAGAAATATAAACTTTATGCTCTTAGAATGACAGCAAAACTGTAAGAAAAAGATTATTAATCACGAATTTAGGCGTTTTCAAAAGAAAAATAGACGTGGCGTAATATCATCTTGTTGCTTAGAGATTCGTAAGTTTTATAATTTACTCTAAGCAACAGCTGGGATATGAGACATCTACAGGTTTTCATTTACCGATGTAAAGCTCCCTATCCCTAAGTAGTAAGTACTAATCCCAGGATAGATAATTTTACTTAGTACTAATCACAAAACTATTACATAAAGTGTTCTAATAGAAATAAGTACTAAATAAATAGGGAAAATGCATTCTCGTTTAATAAACTTTACAAAAGTATCAAAAATGCAATCGGAATTCAATATTCATAAATTCAATGAAATTAAACAATCTTCACAAAACCTATACTGTAAATATGTAAAGTTCCAGTACAACCGTTGATTAGAATAGTCTTTAAAAACTACAAATTAAAGAAAATTTTAATTATATTAGCTTGTTATTCAATTTGCATTAAGTCTGATACGGCTGCACATCAAAAATAATATGTGCCAAACAAATGAAGAGATTATATTGTGAAGAAATAGAGGATGGGGAGGAAATGCAATAAAAAATAACTGGATAAGAATAGTGTATGATGGATAGTCACAGTTCGGTTGAAAACACAACTAAGCAAGACTTTTCCTTAAGTAAATGAGGTTTATTTCACTTTTGTGAAGAATTTAAAAAAACCATGGCAGAATCGATATTAGCTTTTATGCTGATCTGTGTGTTGATAATGTCTTAAGTTATTGAGTTGCATCATCTCTAAGACCTCAATCAGAGGTTGAGATGAACCAACAGATTCCAGTTTTTCATACAAGGGCATCAACTTATAACCAAGCAATCCTTCTGCTTTCTCCATAAAACCTTGGTTTACAGTAGATCTCTATTAAAAACATACGTTATCTAACAAATATTAACCCAAGTAGTTGTAGGAAAATTTAAGTGAAATATATATGTTTCAAAAAAGTAAAAGAAAACAATGAGTTTTCCATCCGTACTTTTGAAGATTCTAATTCACTTTTTTTCTCTTCTAATTGATGTTGAGCTTGACTAATTCGATTGACTGCATCAATTGTCACAGATGGATTACAAGAACCAGGATAACTTGAATTTGTATTTGTTTGTATACATTGCATAGTTTTTTGTAATTGTCCACGTGCATTACGAACATCTGTCAAACATTTTTGTAAATTACGTCGACCTTTTGTAATGTTAACACATGTTTCTTCAGTTAGACGATTTAATGGTTCAACAATTTGACGTTCTACTCTATTCTCATGATCTCGATGATATGTAGATAGAGTTAACAAAGCTTTACTAGCTTCACGAGTGACACAACTAATGAGAAAAATAAATAAAAAAACACCTTTTATGAATTATTTCTCAAATCTAAACGACTAGTCTCATAACAATCAAGCATCGAGTGTATGGTCATAAAATACTGTCAACGGTTTTTTTTCACATCAGATCATACATCAATACACATACTTTACTTTTATTATTACAATTTAGCTACATGTTACTAAATAACCCATATCCATATGTTAATACAATCCGAATTTAACCACTCGGCATAACTGGACAGGCGTTTAGTATATAGCTGTGTTGTGAACACTGGGTATATTAGATAATTTTGATTACTTCCCTGAAGCTCGGATTAAAATGCCGAGTAAAATGTTGAAGTCATTTTTTGTTTTCATCACCGCGATTTTTAAAAAATATTATTTGATTTTTAAATACACTGCAACCCATTAGTAGATAGATAATATGTACAAATCACCTATTATTGATTATCAATCAGTGGACGGATTCATTTTGAACAATGGAGTTAGATGAATTGTTTTACACTATAGATTGTCAATATACAGTATGTTCACCAGAGGCAAATGGTTAGGAATGGTGTGTCAATGACAATATGAACGTACACTACTGAATCTTTCGTAGTATTATGACTGTAATCAAGGAACTAAACGAGTGTAGTTTAAATTATCAGTCTTAATGCTTGACTTAAATTTGTTTAAAATATAATAACCTATAAAACACAAATTTACGTATTCGGTTTTGAGCAAAACATTTTGTGTTGCGGTTAGTGATAATATCAAGGTTATCCAAAAGGAAATACAAGTCTTACATAAAACCATGTCAAAACTTTATATACAAATAAAGTTCATTAATAACTCATTTACCAGGCACAGACTGGTGTTGAAATTATGAAGAATATTTGTAGCTCTAGATGAGGATTTTGAAGGTATCGTGTTCTCTTGGCCGGACAGTTTGATCGTGAAGCTAATATTATCTTTCTCGACAGACTCTTGTCTTTGTAATGGGAGTAATGGCAGCTAGTGATACTATTAAGTCACTCTAACTGAAAATCGAGCGATATTCAAGCTCACTACTTAGTGGCTGAAAGTCATTTGCATTATCCACTGAGTCACTATATACATGCATGGTAGAGCAACGAAAAGACAGATTTGATCTGAAAAATGTTACTTATTTGCTTTAGATGCATACGTATATACCGTCCCCTTTTATACCACAGCTAGACAACAACAGGGTAGCTAGCAAACCACAGTGCAATGTAGACCAGGTATATTGCATAAGAAAAATCTTCGGCGTTCGAGATTACCGATAAAACAAGAAAATCGAGTTGGGGTTTGTCTCCCTGACAACATTGGAGACTCAACTTGAGTATTTAAAGGAACAAACAAATACAAGAAAAGACACCGAGGTGATAGATTCACAAATAACATCACATAAGATATCTTGTGAAAAACTTCATCTGAAAGTGTTTAGGAATTAAAGTTATGGTCTATGCTCCTCCATGAGGGGTAACAGGCGTAAGTAAGCAAGTAATTAACCATCAATAGTAAGACTTTGTAGCATTTTCAGTCATTTTCGTTTAAAAAGGTTACAACTGGGTTTTTTTCAAACATTGTGCATTGTTCATGAAATGGTGGTCTTCGACCAAGAGGGAAAATTTTATTATGTCCACATAAAATGACTAGAAACCTTTATCAATAATGAAAGGGAAGAGTAGTGTTAAATGAAGCAGAATAAAGTTGACCAAATAATATAATCAGTAGTAACATGCACAAGAAGTAACAAGCTGTGAAAATTTTCCACAGATTGTAAAAATAAGTAACACTGACAAATGCATTTCATCTGAAACAAATAAGAGTCATAAGGACGAAGGGATATTTGAAAGTTTTAGGTAAAAAAAGAAGGTTTACTTTATGGGAAATTAGAAAAGTAACATTCAGAATAGTACATCTATTATATTTAGTGACACATATGATCGTTCACAAATTGAACACTAACCAATCGAGAAATATTTTAAAAGAAAAAGTACGACATTGTAGAACATCACTAACATTGTTATAAAAGAAAGAAGTAAGATTAAAAAAGTTCTATAGTTTTCAAAATGTACAGGAACAGGCAAAAATGATACTTTTGATATCTAGACCTAAAATGATGAGAAAGAAGCTTTAAATAATGAACACATAAATAAATAAAGTAACTACTGAAAGTGTTCAATAACTTATAACTATTCTTTTTATTTCATTGGAATGTTATGTTAATTAACTAATTCATTTTGTACGTAATTAATAGTATTTGACTTGGTTTACTCATATGTTATTAGTTAATTTTATCAGAATAAAAACAGAAAGTAAAATTAATGAGATGATCATAAATGTGATTTTATTCCGAACTGGTTTGATTTAATTTCTCTATCAAGTACAGACTGATAGACGTCCTTAATATATAGCCTGACATAGATGTGCACTAGCCTGCTGCCACACCTAATTAGCGGGATATGATGAAAATAACAAAGAGATAGAAATAATGTAGTATCAAGAATAAGCGGAGAGACTACACCTGGTTTGAAAATATAGAATGGAAAGATAGAATGAAAGGATACTGGTATTCAAGATCAAGAGAAAGGTAAGGAGCCCCCAAATGCCCTGGTACGGCCGAGAGTGAGGAGAGTCCGCTCTCCCTCTCGAAATGCTCTCACATGGCCACGCGTATATAGCCTCTGCCAGGGAAGTCCTATTCACTGCCTTCTGACACCACGGGTGTTGTTTACGAAAATGAGAGGACGAAAAGCGAATGTCCGGCGCCTTAACCGGGTTGGTGGACATGGAGAGTCCACCTAGGGGAGTTGGAAAACCCTGATCCCAAACCAATGGTGCACATGGGCTCCAGCATTCGGAAGGAACAAATGGCGTATGAACCAATCGTTGGTCACCGACTACTATGGGACTGCATCTCCTTACGTTGCTCCACTACCTTGTGGATCAGACCTTCAGGTCGAAGGCTCCAGGTGTGGCCCCCTAAGAAAATCACCTGCTTCGGTTTGGGCATCCGGGCAGTATCACAGCCCTCACACATATCGAATGAGGTTTGTGTGGCGCATATGTATTTGGTGCCTCCTTGTACCAATATCTATGTGTTAAAATAAAAAAGAATGAATGCATCTGAGCTATGTTACCCAATGTCACCAAACATTGAAAACCATTATCACGCGAACCTCAATCAGATAGTCTGCAATCACCAAAATGGTTCAAAGCAAGAGTCAATTATTTAATAGATTGATGCTTCTAACTTCCTTCCAACCTACTTCTGCACTAGCAAACATCGCTCGTTGAGGTAAGCGGTGGTTAGGCACACGTAACACATGTACCAAATACCTCAGTTTGTGAAGATTCATTACCTTATCAATCTATTTACCATATTTACCTAGTACCCCATGTCTAACACTCAATCACGACAGAAGCACAAGCGTTCTTGTACACTCGGCTTGTGGAGAACTGTTGGTGTGCGAGTGTTAGCGAAAACTTACGACTACCCAAATCGAGGTGTTGTGGGGTTCTAAGATGAGACTTAGTAGTCGAGTACTTTAATCACTAAAACATTGCCCTACTCTAATTTACATGTTTCCTAAACAAATCTTTAATTAAGTAATCTTCAGTTTTAAAATAATGTCTAATGTTGATTGTTAAGCCATGTACAGTGAAAGCTTTACATACTTTCTAATTGTTTTCTAGTTTATAGAGATTTTCTACTCTTGAAACCCTTATGGAAGATAGAAGGCAATAAATATTGAAGTTTACCTTAAAGTTAAGAGGACATACAGAAAAGCATCCATAAAATGATAAGTAGTCTTGAGATTCTAGAGTCTTCCACAGAAAATGTTAAAATTGGTAGCAAATTCGACAGTTTTACAATCAGAATAAGAAGACGGCAATTAATCATTCTCTTAATTTTTCTTGAAAGTTTTCAAAAAACACCTATCAATCGAAGTATTTTCGGTCCTTTCCCTAGCTTCTACAAAATTATCGAGGACACTCAACACTCGTTTTTTGACATGGCTTTGGAAAATAAATTCTTCGGATTTATCTGAAATTTTTAACAGATTTTTGACAACATTTCATCTTCCGATGTGTTGGAATATTTTAATCATACTTTGCCTATTTGGTTCTAGGAATAGACCGAGTTCATTAAAAAAGCGTCCAGTAGAGTGCTTAGTGGAAGTGTCGCGGCAACATGTGTTTATTTTTTTAATCTCATCGGAATAGACTCATATGCCTTGTCCAAAAGCACCACTAGTATTTGATCCTAGAAGATTAATGTTATACGTAGCGCTGCTAATTGTCAAACAACAACTTAAACGACTTAAGAAGGTTGATGCTATCGATCCACTAACGTTTTTAACACGGGCTACATTAATTACAGTTAGAAAACCTAAGGGTACTGTCCACTTGCTTGCTGACTATTCAACCGGACTTCATGCACTTCCAGAAACCCATCAGCATCCATTACCATCGTCGGACGACTGTTTGACAAAATAACTGGGTAAAAATTTTCTCAAAAGTTGGATTTATTTAAAGCTTATCTATATATCCACGCAGCTGGAGAATGAAGAGAATCGCTTACTATCAGTACACACAAAAGTTTATTTCAGCACAACCGACAACCATTCGAGGATAATAAGGTACTCTCAATTGTTCAGTGAGTAGTGGATAATGTAATAATCATGGGAGCAGATCAAGTACATTTATGTGTAGCTGTATAAGGGTTTCGACTTCATAAAGAAAAATGTGTTTTCTACATGTGACAAGTACGATGCCGGAAATTCATAGTGGATAAATACGGAAAGTTTTCAGATTCAGTGAACATTAAAGCAGTTAAGACAATATCTAGACTGACAGATGTCCCTACCTTACAATTTTTCGAGAACTTGTTAGCCATTATAGGAAAATTAGCTGGAAAATAACTACTGAAAATCAGGGACGATTGGATAGAATTCTCAAACCGAGGCAAAACAGCTATCAATCCTATTTAGTTTTCAATGCCATTTACAGTTAATTACAACCCGCAACTGAAACTCTCCTCAAATAAACTTAGTTTTGGAACTGTATGATAATCTAAACATCTTTAAAAGTATATTTAGTACAGAAGACTTTAAGACGGAGAAATTTGCACTAGTATTATTAATCCATCGAAAATCTGGTTCGCTGACAAACGAAATCTATTATATATGATTAAGGTCAACACATAAAGTGAATACAAAGTCATATGACTTAGAGGATATGGGTTGGATCCTTGATACAGACTGTCAATATGATGAGAAAGTCAGATTAAATTCGAATACATTGCATACAGCTCTAGAACAAATCAAACAAACATTTGTTGAGTATAAATGGACTTATAGTAACATTAGGAGTATGGGGGAAATTAAGCATATGAAAAGAGCAACAACCTAACAAGGAAAAGTATCTTAATCTGAGGTAAAAATAAAGGATGGATCTCATGGATGATTTTGATGTTAAAGAAACCGAAATCTAAATTTAAAAATGGGAATAATAGTATAACGAGTAAGTCGGTTATTTTGGCGGGAGGCGTTTAAATATCTTTAACAATCACAGAATCGATTGTATTTATGTATTACTGAGAAGTTGGCTTTTTGAATTTTCAATATTTCTTTCTTAACTGACACCAGTTCATGATAAAGACAATATTTAAATAAGTGATCTATAGATGTTTATCATACAATTCAATCATTTTTGATTGAGACAAGTAACCTTTAATCTGTTGAGAAAACTGAACTATTAAGTTTTTTGAAATAAGCTATTTTGTTTATTTTTAATGTATTAAACTGTTCACATTTCCGAAAAGACAAGAAAATACTTTTATAGAATATTTAACATAACTAGCTTATTCAATGAAATTCCAGACAGTTTACAAAAAAGGTAAAGACCATAATGAAATAAGTGAGAATTAAAATATTTCGGAAGGTAGGCAACAGTAAAATGGAATAGTCTTGAGATGAGATGGAACTATTTTTTTTCAATGACTTTTCCATATGCGTACAAAAGAGGTACGTCCCATCGTTATCGCTACATCGGCCTTAATTATTATTACTATTATTATCAATATTATTATTATCATTGCATTCCCCATTTACTTATGTCTCATATTCTCATTAATTTATCTATAAATGCTCATCACATCACTTTATTTATTTTTTACACCTCCATGACCTTTAGTTATTGTAACAAAAACATTTTAATCATCCTACTACATTCACGTTATAATTCGTTACTAACTTATTAAGTATATTGTTAGTATTCGTATTATGTAATCTAGTATTATAATCTTTCTATTACATCATCTTTCCCATATACGTTAGTTTGTGACGAAAAGCACAGAGACTAGGAAGTTAAGGATGGTTGGGTAGTTCAGATTATGTCGGTTGCTTGGTTAAATTAGTAACCAGGTAGTAGGGGTTATAACTGGTGTTTGATGTAAGGACTAGGACCACGCCGGTGTCCTAATCGAACCGGGACAAACAGAAGTCCGAACTAGCAACCTAGTCCCCAGATGGATGACCGAGTGCTTTAAAAAAAACCATCATCATCTAGAGAACTGTTCTATCTGCTTCCTAATAAGCTTCTATATTTCACTAATAGTTAATAGAAAGTGTCCTCTGTGTTAGGAATTATTAATAGTTTTTTTAATGATATTCAAAAAATCTAAGTAACCCCTCCTCTTAGTAATCAATCATGCATGAGTAACTAATTTTGAGAAGTAATTTCAGCGTTCTTTTGGGAAGTCGTGACTGTTGGAATTCGACTATGTTGAATATGATGCAGTGGTTCACCAAGTACACTAAATGGTTGGGCGGTATTACAGATTGGTTGATGTTAAACGTTTAAACTATTGGAATCCGGCTCAGTGGTGTAGAGGTTGAGCCTTTGCGTGCAACACTGAGGGTCTTAGGTTTGATCACAGGTAGTGGGTTCATGGATATGCACTCCCGAGAAGTCCCATATTAATGTGAAACGACAATCTAGTCCTTAATGATTTTCAGTAGTTGTTTAACTAAGATCAGTCAGTGATATTAATTATGAAATGAACAGTCATCTTCAGTGACTTTTCCTTATCTTTGGAATGTACTCTTGATCAATGTATATTTAATATGTACTTGTATTAGACATAATAAGAATGATAACCAATAACATTAGAATCTTCATTGATGAACAACTCATCTGCTTCAAGCAGTCACTTTCATAATGAATCTGTAATTTATTAGTCTGCGGGCCAGGGTTTCAAAAACTGGATTAGCGAACTTTAACTCCAAAAACTTGGTCATATGATCAATATAATGTTTTCATTAAAATTAAATGAAACACTTTTAAACAAATTAAGTGTAGCACATATATGTAAAGGTTTGAGTTCTCCCATTGTTCATATTTAATCGGTAGCTCAGCCGACGTGTTGTTAATTGAAGTGATGGGTACTAGGTTCAAATCCTAGTGTAAACATCAATACTGAGATGCAAATCTATTCAGATGATGGGTCTCAAACATGAAGAAACGTGTGTTCTAGATTTTTTAGCTACCCACAGTTAACTTTTACTAAAGATTAAGTGCAGCATGTTATCTCAAAAACACTTTATCTTACGCTTAAAAAACTTATTTAAATTGGTTATAAATAGAAAAGTAGGGATATCTAAATGGATTTTTTTCATCCTCTGTAAGCACATTTTACTTATTTGTAATCATTTCAATTTGCAGCAAACTAAATCATAAACAGATAAGCATATAATAAAATAGTTTAAATGGGAGGTTACATCAATTTTTAAATAGAGTAGTATAGTAAGAAGTCAAAGATTGGCACTTACACAAAAAGTCGGTCATCTGTATTGGGTTTATCGACGGATTCTTTTAAAATAGTTGACAGTACATACTCAGGATACTTTTTCTACAAAGAAAACGATAAATTAAAGCAGAAAAAGGTGTTTATTATGCACACATATATATGGTCCTTCAAAGTATACTATCGTCGTATATGAATCTGAACACATGTTTTTTGTTAATGCTATCACGATAATTTAGATGTTTTGCATGTAACCAATTATAAGAAATAATGCAATTACTGCGGGGGAGTTTGTAAAGATAGCTAGATCCAATGGTTTATATCACGGACTGAACTTAGTAGGACAGACAATGAAAACCAGGGGGTAATGGACAGTTGTTTCGTCATAGTGCGGCACTCAATAACGATGCGCAACCACGACCTCACTGATGAGGAAAGCCCACCTACGACAAAACGGGTGTACATCGGTCCCTGATTGTTAATGGTTGTCCATCTGTGATCGTTGTGTGATGTAAATTATGAAATAACGTAATTGTCAACCATGAATCTATGATGATCTATTGATTATTACAACAAAACTTTTTGAACAATATCACTGAATTGTTAAAATGATTATGACAACGCAATAAAAAATAGCTTTCGAAGATTGAAATAAGTTGCTGATATTTCTTCATACGCATCTTAAAATTATTACCAGCATATGATTAACCTTATTTATTTATTTGTTTAGACATACAAGCATTGGTGCGACACACGAGGTAGTTATTACCCAGTTTTTTTATGGAATGGCATACTGTCCAAGTGTCTAAACCAAAACAGTTGGTTTTATTAGAGGACCATTCCTCGAGCCTTTTACTTAGGGGTATAATCCACAATGTAGTAGGACGACGTTAAGAGATGCGGTTCCATGGTAGCCGGTGACCAACAATAGGTTCAAACGCCATTTGTTCCCTCAGGATCCTGGAGCCTATATGCATCACTGGGTTGGAATAAGGATCTCCAACTCCCCTAGATGGATCCTCCGTACTCACCAACGCGATCTAAGTGCCGGACATTCGCTTTTTGTCCTCTCAATTTCCCCCGCCGCGAAAAGGCAGTGGAACTTCCCTGGCAATGACTATATACGCGCGTCTGTATGGTGAGACCACCAAATGAGTAGTGGTGTTGTATATAGCATACTACAATACAAATGATATATTTGTCAATTAGGTTGTGAACTTGCATCGACTAATATGGTTGAGGCATGTGATGCGCATCCTCAGCCGCTAACTTAAGGGGTTATCCTGTTTGAACAAAAGTAGATTAGGAAACTAGGTCTATGGAGTCACTGTTCCGAGGTGTGTAGCACGTACATGAACACTTTTTGGTCCTGCAAGTTTGATGTAGTCCATGGCTTAATGTTATACAGCGCGGTTTGAAGTTAGTTCCTTTGGTACAGATAAACTTATTTTTATCTTTTCCTACATCTTGAGCTGAATATTATTCCATACTTTTTGTTCCTCGAATTTATTTGTTACTTTTGAATTGCATTTCTTGTTTAGTTTCCAATACTCCAATACCTTCAATTATTTGTATTCCCTCTTATTTTTTTCTGGCCATGGAGATGTGGATCATACCAACTAGTGTACACTTGTGTTTGCTTTAAAGTTATCTGTTTTTCCACTTTTGAGCCACACCTTTGTGTAAAGGTCATATTTACCATCCAGCTGACATAATTGAAATAAGTAGAGGATTTAAAATTTGCAGATTAACGGATGGAAAACTAGTAAGTCAGACTAGCTTATGCATCACTAAGAAATGGCGAGATGATAACTAGATGGACTAAAAAAGATAATCTTTACAAAGCAGTCGAAATACAAACGAAAATTTGGAAAGTAGTTTGTAGAATAAAAAAGTTTCACGGTAACTGTTGTTTTTATAAACTCGTTTCAGAATTTTTATTAAAATCGTGAACATTTTGGAGGTAAACATAAAACATCTTATAAAACAAGGTAACATACATTTTTCTTACTGACGAGAACATTTTGCACTAGACCTCTGTGTACATCACTTGCGACACGTCGTACATCGTCAACACAATGTTCTAAATGTTCAGCATATTTAGGCCAATCTGTAGGTTGTTCATCTTTTTTATCCCTAAAAGTTAATAACATTTTAAGTGATGATAGGTTCATAGAGAGACCAATAGAAAATGAACTTGATTAACAAAATGTTTGTTAATACGGTCTGAATATAAATATAATCTAGAGTTACTTGTGTATTAAATTTTGAATTTCCTCTAACAGGTTGAATTCTGTAAAACTAATAATATCGGTTGAATCATTTAGTAGGAAAACACAGTGAAGGTTAGAAATTTAGTTGATGTGCTACATAATTTTTAGGCAAAAGTTAAAAAGTGAAACGTTAATGCAACTAAGTCCTCACATCCATTTTAATTCATGAGTGTGAAACATGACTATTGAGAGTAGAAGATATTTGTAGATTAACAGTATTAGATCATAGGTGTCTTGGGTCATTGCTCGTATATTTTGGGACCACCAAGTAAGCAGTGACTGGGTTAGGGACAGTGTACTAAGTAATTATGGCAACCCGATTAATGAGGCAGTAAACTTTCATCAACTGGGATGGTTGAGACACATGTTACGTATGCTAAACCACTGCCTACCTTGACGAGCGATGATGTGTGGTGTAGGAGTGGGTTGGGAGAAAGCTAGGGCTACCAAATCAAAACGTGGGACCAGTCTACAAAGTCACCGACAATTAGAGTAAGCTATGTTAACAGGCGTGAACTACTTGCTTGAGAACTGTGTGATCATCGTAATCAGTGGTTAGAGATTTTGAATGATATGGGTCCAAACCGTTTGAGATGGCGTAGGTTCATCCATTCTTCGTTTCCCCTTAGGTTCTAAGCTTCTAAATTTCCAATTATTATATTTCACTAAATTTTTATTTTCTTGAGTTGCACCTCCGATGCCTAATCTTTTCTGTTATCACTAGTACTATTGTTACTTCCAATATACTGGGATTTTTCCTGACAATTTCATCTCTATGTACTAATGGAAATGGCAACTTGAACGGATGTACACAGGTGTCAGGTTCTACGCTGCGACTGACTGGTTAACTTTCTATGAGGATCTGCACCGAACGTTCCTAATTTTGGAGAAAATTTTTAATATCCCAGGATTCGCATGATGAGAATTCACAGAAAAATTAGAAACCAGTAACCATCTAGTTGATACCATACCTGATTTTGGTACATTAATACTGTGACAGTTCAAACCATTTTGAAATTGTTGAATCAAAAAGCTTATCATGTATGTAGGAGTTGACTTTTACCATTTCTAAAGCCTATCCAGACTAAATTGGTAAGAACAGGTCATTTGATATGCAACTAAATCAAAGCAGAGTTTATCACTAAGTAGATTAAAAATAAGCCCAACAATTCTGCACCTCATCATTGAAGAATTACTTGGATTTGATAGTAACTCAGTGTACATAGAAATAAAATTTGCCAACGTGTTTGGATGTATCCAAGGTTATGATCCAACAAACGTTTTCATTTGGAAACAGTCTGTTAGATTGGTCATTTTTAACAGACGTCATCTTGGCGGCGCTTGAACCGCGTGTTATTTGTCGATTTTGTAGGTGGAAATCGGTATGTAGCTGCTTTTTACACCAGTAAGGTGGACTTAATAACAACAAAATAAATTTTGGTTGTATTTTTAATTAAACTATGCCTCAGAAGTATATTTACTCCCCTTCTGTGCGAATTTGTCTCATATTCTGTCGTAGTAATATCGCTTTGTTTAACTTGACAGAATTCTTGATATATTAACGAATTAGACACTTTTATGCCATTAATAAAAATTATTAACTTGTCTCTCATACATGCAACAGTCAAAGTGGATAAATCAACTGATGAAATGTACATGGATCAATTACGGTGATTGAAACGTCAATAACTAGAATTGAGCTACTATCTGGGCTGAGTGGTTGTCTACTAATAAAAGCACCCAAATTTTAGCCACTATACCCTAGACTCAAACCCTGCTAAATCTACTACAGATAGGGCAGTATAGAAGTATCACCTATCACACAGAATTTTGGCTCCCAACTGAGTACATGACTTGTACTTAAATATCAGGTCAAATTATTTCAAGTCTTCGACTTAAAACAAGAATACAATAGGGCTAGCCAAAACAATTCGTGAAGAAACAGTTGGCTTTTGTTCTGTTATGTTTGAACAACATGAGGTTGGAGTTTGTGAAAGAGTAGAAAGTGATGATTGAGGACTTCTCATGTTACGGGTTGAAACCAGCCGAGATGAAAAATCAAACCTCAGGTTAGGAATAATAATGTTAAAAACAACAGATCAGTGTCTGTGATCGTAAAGATGAGCAACTACTTTCTTAGGACAAGCAGCATGTCAATACTTTGAAAATCAAAAACTACGGAAATCGACTAAATCTTAAGTAGTTTTGAAGACAAAATGCATTAGCTTTGCAAACACATGGATCAAGGGACTGACTTAGAGTGCACCATATATTTGGTTTACAATCGATGTCTAAAGGAAAGTTTGGTTATTTTTAGTACCTGACAAACACAAAACCGTTGACAGGATTTATGAAAACTATAGGAAAGACCTGTATCGCTACAGTATTCCAGCTCATCAATCACCATAAATTCGTTTTAAGACGTCAGAATAACCTAACTACTGATACTAGTAACATGAGAGAAAAATCAAAATGGGCCATATTATACAGAAACCTATAAGACTCATCACTCATTGTAAGGGATATAATACCGAAGAAGTCGCACTTGCAATGTTGACCACTTATGGGAATTGTATAAACTAGGAAACCTACTAGACATGGATTAACACAAGAATAATGTCCCGAAACTCAGAACTTACTTGGACCATTTAAGCATGATAAGTACCTAATTTTGGAGCATCGCCTGTTCCGATAACCTTGATATGATATAGATAAACAGCCTTCAGTTCTGAGCAGTGATGATAAGAGGTCTATCGACCCATAGAATTCCTTTCAATTTGAAGTACTATGAAGAGAATTCCACTAATTCGCTACTCATTGTGAGAAACGGAACTCCAGACGTAAAAAATTTGATCCCGGTCTTTGAAATCTCTTGAAACGTCCTTAAAGTGATCAGTCATGAACGGAAGTAGAAGGTAAGACTTATTGCAGTATACAGTAAGCGAGTATTAGGTCACCCGTAACCTATGGTAAGACAACAGAAATAGGTTTGGGAGTATCAGTTTGTTTTTACAAGATAGGCCAGAGAGACTTGTTACCACTTCAGTCCTTCATCATTAAAATTTTTCTTTTATATCTACCTCATGCTAAGAACAAGGACTAGCCGCTTGAACCCCAAAATTTAAATGTGTTCTAAACGCTCCAATATATTTGATGTATCCACTATCCAGTATCTTTATCACGAGCTTGTAAAAAACAATTAATTTATCTGTGATTGCTTCTTACTTTCTATCAGGGTTTCAGGCGTTTAATGATATCCCGTATTTTTTAGTCTAGCCACTCGAATTCACTATTTCCATCCAGTTTGGTAGTTATCAGTCGGTTTGCCATCATGTAATCTAAGCCAATGCGTTTGCCTCAGGTCAGCAAGGTTTGTCAATGTAAGCGGCTAACATACTGTCAGGAGGAATTTTGGTTGGCTGAAATAAGCAAAATAATGCAGAGGAAATGCAAAATCAAAGAGAAAATGAGTGTTTTGAGAACAAAGTAGGTAAATAATTTAATTATTTATAAAGAAGACAGTGTGAGAGGACTGAAATGTAAGAGTGAAAGGGGAAAAGGAAATAATGGCAGGTGATATAAGAATAAGGTAACAATATATGACAGTGATAATCCCGGATGAGCTACGAGACACACATCAGGGAAAATTAGTCCGAGAGGGAGAGGGTAATCCATAGGTGAGTATTTGTTTTTCAGTTCTCCTTTTGGGACTATGCTCTAAAGAGGCTGTGGTCACTTCGGCTGAAGGAGCATTCTAAGTGAAGGCAACTCTTGATGAGAAAAGGTGGAAGCTCTTCGACCTGCAACTTTTCGAGTGTTATCCCGAGAAGCGCGGTGGTGATGTTCTGGTTGGACGTTATATTTTATACGAAAAGTTAAAACAAACCCCGGACAACGAACTATCAATAAAATATGGGGCTGTGGAAATTGTTAGGTTTTTGATTGGGACCATGAATCGATTGATGTTAGACCATCATTGAAAACCTGGGTTCAAATCCCGCGAGCGGGATCGTGGATGCTCACATCTGAAGAGTCCCGTACTAGAACGAAACGATCGTCTACTGCTTTCAGGTCTTTAGTGGTGGTCTAGAATCAGTCGATTCATGATATCTACCAATAAAGTGTTAGCAACTTGTTGTCTAAAAGCATGTCAAAAAGGAATTGCTGAAGGTTGCCTGAAGACATTATTTGGAGGTTATTTTATGCTACTTATTCGCGAAGTCCCACTACAATGTTTAAGCCTCCGTTTATAATGCGATCAGGGAGATCTCATTTGCAACTTCAGCTCATCTGCCTCTCAGTGTCCAATATAAATGCAGTACCTAACATTTTAATTTTTTGGCTGATGAGCGATGAACGTTACGTTATAATTCGCGTCAACGATTTCTTTCTGAACTCTATCTTCGAATGTTTTTTTTTAATCCGTCACAATATGTTGGTCACAGGTTACAAATGTAAATCGATTTCCATGAATAATTCGACATTTTGATATGCACCTCTGACACTAAGTAATCGGTAAAATGATCAAAAAGTGTAGATCTTCCACTTTTGTTGAAGATAGTCAGCCTGACATCAGTTACACAAGTGAGAGTATAACAAGTATCGCCCACAAATAGTGCATCACGTAGTGGATTTCTTGTTTTCTCATTGACTAGATCAGGCATTTTAGAGAATCATTTTAATATGGTATATAAATTACATCATAAAGTTAGATCACTCACCGTTTTGTCATGTCGTTTGTTCGGTCGCATTACGTCACAAACCAAAAGCTAAATTACTAAGTTAGATACCAAATAGTCGTATGATAAACAAGATACAAATCAAACAACTTCTTATAAAATATATGATTTTGTTGTAAAATGCATTGGAAATTCTCATGAAAAAAATCGGCAATGTGAGCGGCAATTGTATGCTGATAAGTAACACAAAACATCTAAGTGGTGGAATATGAAAAAGAGGGTACTTTATGTATAGCTCTTTTTTTCACAAGTAGGCCAGTGAATGAAAATGTAATTTCTGAGTGACTGAAATAACAACAAACTGCATAGGAAGATGAATTTCTGTCATTTTGGCAAAACGAAAAGCAACTGATTTATTTTATCTGCTAATTATTTCAAAGGAATAACAAACCTGTGTCATGTCTGCTACTAATTAAATTGGAACAATCTCATTGTTTAATGGCTATTCAACCTCTCAGTATCAAATATTCGAGAGATCTGATAAATATGAACGTGTGTTCACTTCTCTGTTCCTCCACTTTGTGTTTTGGCGCTCACATACAAACGGACACTTAACGCTGAAGGCAATGAGGAAAGAGGGGTCGTATTTTGTTTATTTTAGTTATTGTTTCATACAGATTAACTAGCCCTTTAATTTAATGATCGATCTTTATTTCAACATTTATTCCGTAACTATGTCTTCAACTAATTTCACCTTCGTTGAACCGGAGATGAAGGAAGGTTTTCTTTTCAGTTCCTTCAGTTTAAGAATATCACTGAATGGGTTTCTTCAGAGGTGTAAATTTACATAGACGTTTTCTAATAACTATGTTTATCGTCTGACCTCACCTTGGTGGGAAGTATATAGTCAGTGTCAAAAAGTTTTGTACTGTCTTTTTATGTCATATATGACAGGAACTCTTGTAGTTAGTAAAAACTCACTCCATATGTTTTTCCAACAAATACATTTCCATGTCTTTCGCTTTAGATTTCATTAAATTCTAGCACTTAGGAAATCGGATTTTCGTCAGTCCACATGTTTTTTCAGTTAGTTCTATTTCTCAACGTGTTTTGTCTACCTCTTTTAGTAGATGTGTAGAATATTTCTGATTATTACAAGCACGAAATTTAACGTTGCCCCGTAGTGAACAAAGGCTTAGTGGGTAAAACGAATTTATTATTTAACATAAAATTACTCAGTACCTGCCTAAAATATGAAAACCATACATTAAATCCTAACGACATTCCTCGAAGCCTAATATGAGATAACTGGAAAAATAGACCTTCAACGTGTAACACTAAGAGAAGATCAATGATGGTGTGCGCGGTAACATTCATTCGAAACTACATTCATCGGATGGCACGACTCGGCTTTGCAGGTGCTGTCATACTTATGCAAAATAATTTTTATCTTTATTAAATATATTGTTCTATCTCCAGCCTAAATGTGTTCTTCACTGTATATTGATTATTACAATATAATGAGTGAGGGTAGACAATGATGTGACTTCCACATAAGATCCTATAGATTAGGCGGTTAAGTCATGACAAACTTACAATTTTAGGGTTAGCTCTATTATTAGAGCAGTACTAAATTCAAAGTAGAACATAATTCTACATATCCTCCATAGATTTTCCTTTACATGCCTCGTGATTATGCTGTTGTTGCAACTGCTCCCTATTTATATTCTTGTCCTCTTCAATTCAGTTTTCTTCTGTCATGCATTCCACTTCTGTGTTACATACCACTTATATCTGTCAACGTAAGTAACAGACATCAGAACCCTACGCATAACAGAATGCAGTTTTCATCGCCTCCTTTGACTTTGTCTTTTCCAAGTCCAACATATGTATTTTAGCTAGCATCGGGCCTAGTGGGAGGCGACCCATGATGACTTTATTGATTTGGCGACTTATCATGTTACTGAACTAAAATTGTATACTCCTTTTACATGTGAACATTAGGTGTTCTGATATGGTTGCCTGATAAAAGGAGAACTGAGTGTTAAGATGTGAATTTGTCCGTTTTGTAGTCGTCCTAGGAACTCATGATCACAAATACATGTGCGCTTTTCCGTTGCTCTGACTAAAAGGGGACGTCAGTTTCTGGCCTCAATTTAAGATAAACTAAGTGATCTTGGATTATTCAGATCATTCTGCCCTAAATGACCGCGGTGAGTAGTTCACCTAGGCGGGACGTAAACTCGTCGACACAATGTGCTGAATTACCCCCTCCTTTACAGTCCGTCAGCGTTGATTAGGAATGACTTCTTCCAGCCAACTTGTAACACGCTCTACCATCACCATCCAATACGTTTGCGTAGATGGCCTCATGATGTATGACGACAACATACCTCTCATGATTGTCAAAGCAATCGGCTGAAGAGGTATGGGTACACATCGATCTCTTCCCACTAACTGAGATTGAGGACAAAAGAGTACACACATCGTCATATCTCTCTTCAGTCACGATGCGAACTATTGCAGGTTTGTTATTCTTGAAATACCTGTATGCATCGGTTATTGTTATTCATGGATCATCCCACAGTGTATGGGGACTACTATTACAGGAAAAGCGGAGAAATTCAACCGATAGAAAAACTGTTATATCGAATGTTATTAATTTCACTGTTTTTGGATGTATTTGTTTCACTCAACGTCTGAACATAAATGTTCATACCTTTGGCTTCAGACATTTCTAATCTCTTTGTCTTTGGTTTAGTATTTGGAGGTTTTGCCTCGGGAACCAAAAAATTAAAGAACGACATTTGTCTTTTATTTGGAATTTGCGAATACACTTTGTCTGAATTCGAGTTTGGTCTAATTGTTATTTTTGAGTTCGCAAGTTTCATGCAGATCGACTGTTATCATCTTCTCTTCAGGTCAACAATCCCGCTTCATTTGACTTTTCTGATTAGAACGTTTGGTTATATCCCTGTTTAGCCCCACAGTATTGGCGTCCGCCCCCTCGGCTTTCGCTCGCTTCACTGCCGTGGGCGTTTAATTGGAGTTCTGACGACAAACATGTGTTCCTGGATCAAACTGAGGTTGCTAACCCCAAGAACTACTTCTAGGAAACCATTAATGTTCAGTGTTTAGGATAGGAAATATGTAACCGATTTTCTCAGCTCGGCGTGTGATCAATCGTAAGATTACGCTATCCTGGCACAACAGTCTTCGTGATAGTTTCTATATAGAGACTTTCGCTGTTTTATCCATTGTGCTGGCC